TGGTCCAAGTCAAGTGACTGAGAGGAACAGACCTAATCCTGCATGCTGGGGAGGAGGGACGGAGGTGGGGCACAGCTGGCTCAGCCAGGGGACTCACCCGATGTCATCTCGGTAGACCCGGGAGATGAGCACCTCCCCCTTGTGATTATAGATGAATAAGCCTCCAATCATGGCGGCAGCTCAGTCTCCACAGCCCATCGCTCTGAGAACAGACCTAGGACAGGCAGAGGCAGGGTAAGGAAGGCCTCAGAACCCCTGCCCACATCCACCGTGGGGCTGTGCAGGTCACAATCTGTGTTTTTTTTTCCTGACTCAAACCTCCAGCAAGTGACCCTGCAGCCCTTGCAGGCATGCTCCTCCCCTTAGCCAGGCTCCAGTTCCTGTTTATCCCACACTGGACGGGAGAAAGAAATGGTGAGGGACTTGGGCCCAGGATACTAAGGCCATTTTGATCCTCCCTTTTCTGGGGCTGAGCCCAGAGAGTGGCCCCGCCCCCTCTTCACAGAACTGAGCTCAGCAAGGATCCTTTTCCGACTCTCAGGCTCTCACAGGGAGTCCACGGGAAGGCCTGCCCGTGGCTGCTGAAATGGTGGCAGCAGGAATGGTGGCAGCAAGGACTCCCGTGGGGCAGGCCTGGGGCTCAGGGACAGCCCAGGAGCACCAAGTCTCAGTCTACACTACCCTCCGAGAAGGGGCAGGGCCTGAATCTAGGCATTCCCTGGAAGGGTGTGCAGGGTGGGCGGAGGAGGAAAGAAGGGGCGGCCTTAGGCCCTGACTGACTAGTAGACCCCAGTGTGGATCCAGCCTCCCCCAGGCAGTCAGATAAGCAGGCGAAAGGGCAGAGGAGAAAGGTCCCGGCCCTGCAGACGACACTTACACGACCCAAGCTGCTTAGTAGTTATTCTTGGCGACCTCCCCGCCTTTCAAAAAGGGAGGCTCCCTCTCAGCTCCCAAGTACAATAAAAATAAGGCGGGGGGGGGGGGGGAGTGGGGGGAATGCAGGTCCGAAAAGTTAAAGAGATCCTTCCAGCGGGAATTCTGCGATTCCAGACCCACTTCCGGCCTGGGTGCCTACATGTGAGGGGCAGGATGCCCAGACTATCCAATTATTCGGGTCAAACTATCGCAGGCTGTTGGCGAGGGCAAAAAGGGTTCGTTTAGTTCTAGATGTCCCGGCTGAGCCCTGGTGTTCATTGCACAGGGGGTAGTTCAGCAGGCTTTTCTAAACTGTAAGATAAAGCCCATTCCTATGGCCACCGAGGTCTCCCAGACTCGGCGAGAGGTCTCCGGAGGTGGCGGACACGACCCAGGCCTCGGTCCCTGCGAGTCCAGGAGGGGAAAGGCAAGATGGAGGTGGAGCCCGGGCAAGGAACCAAGTTCCCAGGCATCAAGGCTCCGGGGGGAGCTCGGGCCCCGGGCAGGCGCGGAATGAATGTTGCCTAAGCGGGGACCCGGGGACCCGGCGGCGGCGGGCAGAATGCTCAGGTGCCCACGGCAGCAGCGGGTGGGGCCCAGGGAGCGGGTTCGGACGGCAAAGGTCGGGGCTTTGCGGAGGAAGGACGGCAGGGGGAGCCCGGCATGGCGACTGGGGGCGCTGGGAGACGGGCCCGCGGCGGGGTCCAGGGGTAGAGGCATGAGGGGACGGAGGATGGGCTTTTGCCCTGGAAGGACGACACCGCGGAAGAAGATGGTTGCGCGGAGTGCGGGGCTGTCACCGGCCTGAGGAATGAGAGCCTCGGGCTGTCACTCCACGGGGGGGGGGGGGGGGGGGAGGCTTGTCACAGGAGGCGACCCGGGGGGTGTCACTGTCCGGGGAGGTGGGGAGACAGTCCTGGCGCCGAGGGGCGGCGTCGAGCGGCAGGGGCGCTGTCGCCGCCCCAGGGAGGGGGCGCCGCGCGGGGTCCCTGCCCTGGGAGGGTTCTAGTGGATCTCCCTCCCCAGGAAGGCGCAGGGCGGGTCAGGTGGAGGGCGCGCTCTCCGCCCGTCCTGCGACCGCGCCCCGGGCGTCTCCGCCCGCCGTCAGCTCCTCCGGGATCTGAGAGGCTGAGGCCGCTCCCGGGTGTGGGCAGCTTTCCGCCGACGCTGTGCAGGGAAGGCAAGGGCAAAGCTGCCGTTGGGCAGGCGTCCTCCCTCATCCCATGAGGCCAGGCCCCGAGCTTACCTGGTGTCCGCGGCCCCTGCTCCGCCCGCCCGGCCGCTCTCCGGATCCCAAGATGTCCGCCCGCCCCCTGCTCGCCTGCCCGCTGCCTCGGCTTTCACTGCAGTGCTGCGGCCCCGCCCCGGCCTCGGCTGCGCCTGCGCGCCGGTCTCCCGCACGGACTACAAATCCCGTCAGGTCCTCGGGCTTTGTCGCTTACAATTTTAAGCTCTCAAGATTTAGCAAAACTACAACTACCGACTGCCTTCGGGAACCTTCGAAAAGGAGAGTAGGAGTTCCTTGGGGGAGGGCTAGGAGTGGCCTAATCCAGCCTTAGCCGAAAAGCACTTCCCAGCCTATCCGATTCCGCTCGCTTCCTTTCCCCCCCACTGAGCATTCTGGGAATTGTAGTCTCTGAGGTCCCTCCCATTCCTATGTCAGTGTTTCGGAGAGCCTCAGAGGATTACTACCATTAGAAGTCCATCTGTTCAAAGTCTTGGATCGTTGTAGGCCTTTAGTGTCTCCAAAGTCCGAGGACCGGCTGTCCTCACTTTCCATACAACACACGACTTGGCAGTAGAAGTGTTTGTGCTGAATTTACTGCTTTCTCACACCACCTCTGACTCTCCCAAATTTTAATTTTTCATCGTATATATTTGCCAGACGTGAGCCTTTCTCCAGGGATCAAGAAAGACCCAAGGAAGGAAAACAGGGAGTGAAGAGGAAAATACTCAGAAGAAACTAGATAAATCTTTTCAAAACTATGTCCGTGTTCTACTTCATCTATACCTATGTTACTGTCAGTTCCTCAAGGCCAGAACCTGTGTGCCTTCTAGTGAGAGGCAGATATGTTGTTTAGAAAACCATTGGTGAATTTAATTTAATTGGACATGGGATCTGAAATTCCCTCTCTGAACAGAGTTAATCTTCACATCCAAGCCAAGAAGACAGAGCCAACCCTCAAACATGAAAGGCATGCCTGGCTCTTGCAGGACCTGAAGGAAATATGTTAGCTCTTCTCTTTCTATACAGAGAGATACCCTGATGCCTTCGCTAGTCAGGGCTGAGCCCGTCATGGGAGGAAGGAAGGATAAGAAAGGGCGAACCTGGTTGCAAGCCTTACTGTCCCTAGCATCCTCTTTCAGAAGCCAAGATGTGGCAGGATGAAGAGTTGGCCTCCTTCATTAAAACCGTGGTCATAACCTGAAGCCATCAAGTGACCAAATACAGGCATTTCTGATCCTTGAATCAGCACACAAGGCTTCACTCCTAACCTTTCCCAAAAATTTATCTTCAATTAATACCCTAAATCCTTACCAATTTAGAGCAAATAATAATAATAATAATAATAATAATAATAGCTACCATTTATTGAGCACCTATTCTACTGTGTGCCAGGCACTGTGCTAGGCACTTTTCGTACAATATCTAATTTAAATCCTCACAACAACCCTGTGAGGTAGGTATTATTATCGTCATTTTACATATGAGGGAACTGAGGCTCAGAGAGATTAAATAACTCTCCTATCACACAACCAAAAAGTAGTAGAGCTAGGATTCAAACCCAGAACAACTTGACTCCAAATCCCATGCTCCTGTGAACTAGAGCAGAGGCAGAGGGCAGAAGGACTGAATTTAAGAAAGATTGTTGGAGTAGAATGAATATGTTCTGCTGAATAGTAAGATTTGGGAAGGGATTTAAGTCCATAGATGTGTCTAGTTGATGAGCCTATGTAGATTGTGAAAGTAACTAGAATTGGAATTCATGAAGTGGGGGAAATGCATTGAGTCCATATGGACATGTCCATGAAGATGTCCGGTGAATAATAAAAACACAAATCTAAAGATTGGAGGGAAATTGGGGATGGAGAGATAGATTTGAGAATCCCCAGCATATCAAAGGCAGGTAAGGACCTCCTGATGGATGATACCATTTGGGGAGTAAATAGGAAAGAGAAGTGGATTGAAGACAGAACACAGGGAGCACCAACACTGAAGGCAGGAGCAATAGTGGAAGAATTCTCAAGAAAGTTGGACATGGCAGAGTCAGAAAAAAAAGAGAAGTATAGGAGGCAGCCCTCCTCCCAGTGGCTAGAAGCCACGGTCTGGGTTGGGAGCAAACTAGAGCTGCTAGAAGGCAGGCAAGACTGAGTCAAATTTCCAAGGTAGCCTTCACTCACAAAAAAACCCAGGAAGTATTTAAATGAATGCCAAATGCCCCTTCCCTGGTTTGCCCCAAAGCCTGGAATTTAGTACTTCATCTCTTAACACCCCAGTTCTGAAAATATGGGAGCCCAAGTGAGCCAAAAGAATTTATAGAAGAGGCTTACAGTCATAATTTGTTTAGAGTAGAAAACAGGTTAAAAACAAAAACCTGGCACTCGCAGAATTCCCCCTGCCCAATCATGCTCTGGGGCAGTGGTTCTCAACCTTCCTAATGCCGCGACCCTTTAATACAGTTCCTCATGTTGTGGTGACCCCCAACCATACAATTATTTTCGTTGCTACTTCATAACTGTAATTTTGCTGTTATGAATCCTAATGTAAATATCTGATATGCAGGATGTATTTTCATTGTTTGTGACCCACAGGTTGAGAACCGCTGCTCTGGGGTACCATGGTGATGTGAAAACAGGAAAAAGTGTGCAATGCAGGGGGCAAGGTGAGAACAGCCTGCTTGTTGTCTGGGGAGCCCTCTGATGAGCCCCACATATGGGCTTTATCTAGGTAGGATGATGATAGGGACATGTCGGGGAGGCTTAAGGGCTATGAGGAAGGGGAGAAAGGATAGAGGTAAGTCAGGGGACCAGCCCCACAACCTGGGAGAAAATTGGGAGAGAGAGGCCAGCCCTCTGGGCAGGGACCAGCCCTGAGGCTTAAGTGGACTTGCATAGGCACCTGTGTGTGTGCACGTGTGTGAAAGAGAAAGAGAGAGCACGCACACTCTCTGGAAAGGCGAACAATCCCTCATATATGGGCAAAGGGCTGGAGCCCTCCCCAGAAGCCCAGTGACTCAACATGCTGAAGTGTGGGTGTGGGGGCTGCATATCCTCGAGAAGCCCTGAGGGGCTGTTGAAGCAGGGTTCCTGGTTTCCTCGGAGGCTGGGCCTCCCCTCGCTGGGGGCTCACAGAAAGTCAAACAGCCCGAAATTCTTGGCTGCTCCACGCCCAGGAAAAATTGGGGAGGAAAAAAGAAAGAAAAGAAATGTTTCAGGCCCAGAGGTGAGATGAGCCTGTTGGTTAGTAGGGTTAGGGGTCTGAAGGAACCAGCACACAATTGCAGGCAAAGGGTGGGGTAGGGCAGAGATCAGGCAAGGAAGGCCCCCACTGGGCTCCTGGTAAGGGCTCAGTGCAGGAAGGGATAGCATGGATATGTACTAAAGGTGACCCACAACTCTAGGGTGCAAGCAGCAGGCAAGAGACTGTCAGGCAGCAGGCAAGGAACAATGAGGAGGGGCAGATGGAGCAAGTATTTTTTTGGTGTCAGTATTGCGTGTGTGGAGCAGTTCAGAGATGGGACACATGCTTGTGGCGATGAGGTTAATAGGGAGATGGTGTAGCTGAATGAATGGTGAAAGGGACCTGAGGTGGGGAAATGGTGGGGATAAGGGGCTGGGCAGGCCCTCAAGGGCACAGTTGAATTCCTGAAGTGTATGCACAGGTGAAGGAAGTCAGGAGCAGCACCAGCAAGTCGGGTCCCAGGGACATGAAGGATCCTGAGAAGTCCCGTGCAGCAGTTAGTGGGCAGAGGGACAAACTGGGGCTGCTGGCAGGTTAGGGGCTGCAATAGCTATGTGGGTCACCCCACCCTCGCTGAGCTCAGCGAGCAGTTAGCGCGCCTGGATTTAGTTCCGTTTATTTCCCTTTCAGGTACCAAAGTAAAAAAGACTGGACAGATGGAGAGAGGGACGCAGCCAGCCAGGTTAGAGGTGGGATGGAAGTGGGGGAGGGGCCCTGCTCACATCACATCCACAAAGAACTCACTGGGGTTTCCCATGGCCATGCGGAAGGACTGTCTGCTGGCAGTAAGTTCGGGGGGCACCGAGGCCAGGTCACGGCCTGGGGGGGCTCCTGGGGGTCCCATGGCCGCGGGCGGTGGGGGCATCATCAGCATGGGGGGGCCGTAGAGAGGGGGCACGCCAGGGGGGCCGTAGCTCGGGTGCGTGTGATGGCTGCGCAGGCTGCTGGCCAGCGAGTGGTGGCTGCGGTGGCTGTGCTCGCTGGCGGCAGGCCCCGAGCGCTCGCTGGGCGCCCGCTCCCGGGGCCCCCGCAGGCTGCTGCGGGTTGTGTGGTCCGACTCGCTGCCGCTGCCACCTGACTTCGAGTCTCCAGCCTTCGGGTCTTTCTCTTTCCGCCGGTCGCTGCCGCTGCGGTTGGAGCCACTGCTCCGGCTGCCTGTAGGGGACAGGCAGGGGCAGGGTGGTGGATGTTCAAGAGCTCGCCGAGGAAGCCTGGGTCTCCTCCGCCTTACCTGTCTCCTCCACCTTACCTTCACTGTGCTGACTGCTGGCACTGCCCCCGCCGTAGCTGTACCCCAGCTCCGGGAAGCCTGGGTGCGGGTTGTAGGGGTGCGGGGGTGGCGGGTACTGGTAGGGGAAAGCCATGGGCCAAGGGGCAGCCCCCGGGTGCGGCAAAGGGGCCAGTGTGTCCTGGTCAGAGGCACCGCTGGAGCCGTCGTGATCGTGGAGGGACAGGTTGGCCATGTCTGTGGAGGGCAGGAGAGGGCCGGATGTTGGGACTCCCCCATACCTTTGCACCTCTGTCAGGAGGGAGGTCCCAGCCTAGGCTGCATTGAATGCATATGAGATAACAACAGTAGTGGTAGTTTCCCACCATTATGGAGGAGGCATAGGCCAGAGAGCTCACATTCCTTCTTAAACCCTCTCCACCACCCCGCAGAGGTGGTAGAGAGGGAGCCCCTGCAGACAGCCCGGGGAAAACCCTTCTCAGGGAGGCCCCAGTCACCATTCCTAGCCTCAATGCCAAATCCTGACACCCACCTCCCAGAAAAGCCTTTGGCAGTTTCTCCTCCTTCCTAAGTGGACTGGAAGGGACAAATCCCACTCTGTTCACTTAGGGCAGTGATTTTCAACTGGTGTGCCACCAGAATTTTTAAAACAGGCAGAACCTGACTAGTGAGGGGCTCTGACCTCTTTTTCCTTAGACTGTCAAATAAAAAGAGTGGCCAACACAACAATAACGGTCCCATGTGAGTGAGTCAAAGTTATACCGATCTTTTTTGTCAGATTGGCAAAACAATTTTTGTGTGTGTGCGCCACAGAATTTTAGTATTTAACTTATATGTGCCATGAGATGAAAAAGACTGAAAATTGCTGACTTTAGAGGGTAAAAGGTAGAGGAATGTAGGAGGCTGACACCTCAGACAACGATCAGGTAGGTACTGCATACCTGCAATTCATTAGGCACAATACAAAACACTATCTCATACAAATATTACCCCAACCCTATGAAGAAGGTGCTAGGCACATTTTTTCCACATGAAGTAAGTGCAGTCCAGAGAGGTTAAATGACCAGCCTGAGTTCAACCTAAACTGCAGCCAGAACAGAAGCTAAAAGCTGCTAACTTTTTTACATTTCCAGATGAGGAAATTAGTAAGGAGTAGGGAGCAGTTTGGTGAAATTGTGCCCTCCCCTCTCACCTAACACTAAAAAAAAAATACCCATTAAAAATCAGAATGAACATAGGGCCTTTCAGAACCTTCCCATACAGAAGGCCATTGGGAGAATCAATTTCCTGGTGCTGCTGGGGAGGGTGGAAGTGGGGTGGGAAGGGCCCAGAAAGAGAACAAGTTAGGTGCCTCGTCTGTGTTCTCCACCCCATTCCCAGGGAGGCGTGGTTCTTCATTGTATTAACATTACTTCTTTCCCGACTCTGGCTCCCCCAGTAAATGTTAAGGATAAGGATGCCCCCACTAATGTTAGAACTACCTGGAAGGGAGTTTAAGGGGCCACTAGGACTAATGACCTGCCTTGGACACACCTTACTCACACCCCATCTGTACCAGGTCCCAGAGGCCTGCCAGATATAGACTGAGCCCTTTGTTCCAAGCCCTTAAGTAAGCCAGCCCAACCTTCCAGGGGAGAAGAGATAAGGAGAGGGGGCCCAAGGGGGCCCAAGCAGCCAATGAAGTCTTCCAGCCAAGCCATGAACTTGTCACGGCCAGCAGCTAGCATGAAGGGTGGTGGTGGTGGTAGTAAGCAGGGGCCTGCCTTGGCTCATGTTCCAAGAGCTGGTGACTATTTCAACTTCCAGGCTATCATCCCAAGGGGAGTGACTATGTGTTCCTGGGGCTACCCAGGTCCTCGGCTTTTCCCTTTGAGCTTGCCACTCTCCCAGCTTAGGACACCTCAGTCAGTGAGAAGGAAAAGACCTGTTATGTCAGTATCTCCCTGAGCTGGGCCTCTGGTGCCAGGTCCATGGGTAGAAGATCCAGGAGGACCCAGGGATGGAAGGATGTCTCTTGAGCAAAAACTAGAGCTCTTCTGAAAAGCTTTATGTGTCTCTGGAAATTTGGGATCAGGGCTGACTTCTGCTAAGGATGACAATATCACACTTGATTGAGTCTAAGAAGCCACTGGTTGTAAGATGCACTCCAATTTCAGACATTGAAATGCGTGGTAAGTGTTCATCTTAGAATCAATTAAATATATGAAGAATGGACAACTTTTTAAAGGGTACTTTCTGTGGGCTAAACATGGTGCTGAAAGCATTATATACATTACATCGTCCTCAAAACAGCTCTATGATATAGATTCCACTATTACTTCCACCTTACAGATCAACAAATTGAGGCATTGAGAGGCTGTGTCACTCATGTTCACACAGTAAGGGTAGTGCTAGGATTTGAACTCAGAACTGTCTAACTCCAAAACTCTGTGCATCTACTCCATGTGGCCATGCTGGAGCAGCTGAGGGCCAGGGACCCACCCTCCACCAGGACTTGTGCTCTGAAGAAACAGCTTTTCTGGTCCCTAGAACCTAATCTGAAGCATTTTAAGAGTTAGTTTTTGGACTCCAGATAGCACCACTGGGCTCAGAGAAGGTTCCCTCAGGTAGAGGTGGCTGCTGGGTGAGGGTTTCAGCTCCCAACACTGAGTGATGCTGTCCTGTTCCGAAGACTCCCCTTCCAAAGGGCTTCAGAAAGAGAAGAGGGCTTCCACGCAGACCTCTCCTGCTTACTAACCCCAACTGGCTTTGCACTTTTTCAAGAGCAAGTCCAGCTCCTGTTATAGCTTGTAGAATCCTCTGCAACAGGGGTGGGGAACCTTTTTTCTGCCAAAGGCCACTTGGATATTTATAACATCATTCACAGGCCATACAAAATTATCAACTTAAAAATTAGCCTGTTATATTTACTCAAACATTTCATTAACTCACCCCTAATGCCTTGGCAGGGCCAGACCAAATGATTTCGAGGGCCTTATATCACCCACAGGCTGGACATTCCCCACCCCTCTCTACAACCTGGCCCTGATAGCTTCTCTAGCTCCATCCTGAAGCACAGTCCCTCCACAGAGGTCTGAGGAAGCTGAGGACATGGGCCTCAGACAAATCCTAGGTCCTACCCTGGTGGACCCTGCTTGATGCTGGGAAGCTAAGCAGGGCCCAAGGATAGGAACTCTGGCCTTGCTAACACAATGTTTCTGCACCACTACACACCTGGTCAAACCCAGATGGTGGGAAGAACAAGGGCTCTGGAGCCAGAAAGACCTGGAACCATGGCCTAGTTTCTCTGCTTCTAGTAGTGAAACCTGGGGTGGACTATTTACTGTCTATATATCTCAGTTGCCTCATCTGAAAACAGGGATAGTAATCCATCTCCCGAAGGGCAGAGAGGAGGTTGTGAGGAGTGATAGAGTGAGATGATGTTTTAGAAACAATCAGCATGGTGCCAGGCACTTAGAAAATGCCAGCCCCTCCAGGGGACGCAAGGAAGGTGAAGAGGCTGAATTGGGTTCTGCTTCCACCACAAAACTCAGGCCTTGAGCTGGGAGCCCAGCTCTGCTGCCCCCTCCTCTGGGTTCCCTGAAATCTGCTGCCACACCCCTGGGTACCGCCCCAGTCCCAGCCAGAAGACAGGGCAAGGAAGTGGGGAGGCACGTACTGCCGCAGAGGTCACCGAAGATGTAGTAGCACTGCTCGGAGAAGGTGATCTTGTTGACAGTGTGGCGGATGAAGCCAGCTTTCAGCAGGTTGCTTGCATACTTGCGGGCTTCTCGCCGGTCAGTAAAGCCTTCCACGTTGTGGTACAGCCAGTCCACCACATCCGAGCCTGGGAGCAAGGCTACCTTTGATTGGGAGGCCCACCTTGGGCTCATCTGGCCTCACAGAAGCCATGAGGGTGGGCCTGGTTCCAGCTCAAGGGAGTTATTGGGCGCCCAGCCTATCCTGCTCCCTCACTGCCCACCACCCCATCCTTCATCCCACCATGGGGCCCTCTCACCGATGAAAGCGTTGGGGATAGTGATCTTGAGCCACATGCGGTCTCGGACCTCCAGCCCGGATTCAGGGGAGGCCATGGCTTTCACAATGGCAGCCATGTCACTGTGGATGGACAGGTGAAAGTCGTCTAGGCCTGGGGGTGGGAAGCAAAATGGTCAGGCAGAAAGGGGCTGTGGAGGTAGGCAGACGGGAGTTTGCATTCCAGTTCTACCGCCTAATAAATATGGACCAGTGTTGGACAAATTATTGACTTCTTGGACACTCAGTTTCTCCTGTAAAAATAGGGACTTTCACGTCTACTTTATAGGGATGTTTGAAGATAATTAAATAATGTAAACGAAGGTGCCTAGTATAGTGCATAACGAGTGTTATGATAATAAAAATGGCAGTCATTATTACGTGCTTACTTTATGCCACGCACTGTGATAACTGCTTCACTTATATCCTCTCATTAACCTCCAGGAGCCTGGTAAAGTGCACATCTTTAGTCCCATTTTACAAGAGGAAACTGAGGCTCACTGGGTGCTCAATACCAGTTCAGAACCAAACACTGTTTAGTGAGCTTCGGGTGTCCCCTGAGGGAAGCTGCAGTGTGGAGTAGCTGGAATGAGCCGAGCCCCCTCCAGCCCCTCTGCCTTTCAAGCAAGTCTCCACATGGGCCTTCATCAGTCCCTCTCACCTGGCCCTGTCTGCTGGGCCCAGGGGACAGGGTTGGACACTCACGCTCTGTGTCAGGGATGGAGCTGGTGATAGAGGAGCTGGTGGAGGTGATGGTGCTCAGGGAGGGGCTCATGCCGTAGGCAGGGAAGGTGCCAGTCATGGCTGCAGTGTGGGAGACCCAGGCCGCAGGGTCAATGGGCCGGATGGGCTCGCCTGCAGGGAGGATGAGGAGTTAGGGGCTGCCCACCCTGCCCAGTGCTGGGCCCAACAGGGTAGGTGTGAGGGTTCAGGGCAACACAGAAGGCAGGAGAGACAGAGCTCGTGTATGCCAGACACCAGTTTTAGGGCCAAGTTCCCCATCCACTTACTCCTGGGCAATGTGAAGCAACCACGTGGACTTGGGTCCCAGCACTTGGCTACAGTCAGGGTGATGGGCCTGAAAGCAAGGGTGTCCCTAGTGAGGGCAGGATGTATGGAGGCGAGACCAAGCCCCTTGCCTGATAGCCAGAAATGCCTGGCACCTCCTCCGTAATGCTTCAGCCCATCCATACCCTGGTTTGTGCACAATCTCCCGCAGTACCCGGACTGCGTCGTCATTACTCATGTTCTCAAAGTTGATCTCGTTTACCTGGGAAATAGGACCAGGAATGGGATAAGCAGCTGTGCTGGGGAGGGAGTTAGGGAAACTTGGTGGATCAGGAGGTCTTCCCCACCAAGAAAGGGCCTCTGAATAGGGTAGAGAGGGTAGGAAGAATGAGAAGGAACAGAGGGTACATCTCCCCAACTCCCTATCTACACCACCAGCCACAGTGAACAATGGTACCTGTAACAGCATATCTCCTGGCTCGATGCGTCCATCAGCAGCCACGGCCCCACCCTTCATGATAGAGCCAATGTAGATGCCTCCGTCACCACGCTCGTTGCTTTGGCCCACAATGGAGATGCCCAAGAAGTTATACTTTTCTACAGGGAGTAATAAGACCTTGAGATGGGAGCAAGGTTCCTAACCAAATTCTGAGCCCCTTATTAGAAAGAGTGGAAAGCGACAAGAGCTAACATTTATTGAACTGGAACCAGGCACTGGGTTCAGCATGCTCAATAGGCTTCCATTAATCCTTGCTGGATGTGAGGCAGGGACGCTCAGTCTCATTTTACAGAGTAGACAACTGAGGTTCAGAGGATTTAAGTGACTCTTCTAAGCCATTAAATGGCAAAACCAGTATTCAAATTCATTTAAATTCCAGACAAAGTTGGGGCTCTTTTCACTATACCCAGCTATCTCCTGAAAGAGTGGGTAGGGCAGAAATCAGAGAACAAGAAGGCAACAGATAAAACATGGGAAATGGGAAGCAATCAGAAATCACTTCCTCCAGGAAGTCTTCCCTGATGCTTTTCTCTGCTTCCATAGCTCTGTGTGCTTCTCTCTGTCATAGCCCTGATCATGAGATACTGAAATAATCAGTTTAGGTTTATGAAAGAGAGCTCCTTGAGGGCAGGGAACATAGCTTGTGTCTCTTTAAACTCTTTGAGTCTGCCCAGTGTCTGGCATACAGTAGGCACTCAAGAGTGTTGTTTCACCAGACTCACCCATGTTGAGAGTGACCGTGATGATGTTGAGTGACATAGTGGAGTCCGTGATGCTGCTGAAGGATGAGGACTGGAATAGATAGAGACTCTGAGCAGCAGGCAGGGGTGGCAGGACTCACTGCTCTCCCCTAGCTCCTCCTCAAGGTGAGCCTTCAGCCACCACCTTCCCTCTAAGGTTCTAGACACTGACCCAGGGGAGGGGATCTAAGGACGGATAAGCCCTGGCCTTGCCCCACTCATCCCTAGCACCCCAGGTCCCATACCCGCTCAATCCGGGAAACCTTCTGCTTCCGCCGCCGCCGCTTGTGTCTTCTCATCAGGCGTGAGGCACTGCTCTGCTCTGTGGAGCTGCTGAACCTGTGGGGCCCACAGTCGTTCCCCACCAGGCTGACCTAGCCCTGCCCCGTAAGAGGCACTGCAGGGCCCAGGTCCCCAGCACAAAGCCCACATCCCTCCCAGGGGCCCAGTATCCTCAGGGTTCAGGGCTCCTCAGGGATCACCTGCCCACCAGTCCTCATGAAACCAAGGCCCTACCTGCTGGTGGAGTCATCCTCCTCGGAATCAAAGAAGCTGGTGGTCTCCAACTCGCTGCTCATGAGGGTAGTCGAGCTGTCATAACCCCCTGGTTCTCGCCGCCGCTCCCCTTTTGCAGTTCCATTTAGCCGGGTTGCTGCAGGGGATGGAGGCAGCTGGGTTCACAGTGCCCAGTGTAGGAGGGAAGGGAGGAGAGGCAGGCTAGGGGCTGCACTGGGGCCAGTCCTATCCAGAGCTCAGGAAGTTGGGCAAAGAGGTGTCAGCTGAGTGGAAGCTGTGGGGAGGGCACCGGGATGGGGAAGGCATCTGTTCAGGGAAGACGCACTGTGCTCCGGGCCGTCCCTCCGGCGAGGCCGCTCCCGCTGGGCAGACACCAAGGAGTCCGTCTCTGTGTCATTGTCCAGGTTCTCCTGGCTGCCCCCACCAGCATGAGGGCTGCAGGGAAGATAGGACTTGGTGGGGGAGGGGGCAGGCTGGGGGCTCCCTCCCCCAGCCCTGGGCTGAGCTGACCTGGCCCTCCCCACAGGCCCCGCCTACCCTCAGGTCACACTCACTGGAAGGATGGCGGCCGGGAGTCCCCAATGCCTCCTGTGCGCTCAATGGGAGGTGGCAGCTCCGATGGGTTATCAGCACAGAAGGGAGCTGGCTCTGGGTGTGAGCCTTCAGCTGACACCAGCTGATGGAGAGAAATGGGTAGGTAGTATGGCACGAGGGCACCAGGGAGAGTAGGATAGTTGGCTTCTGGCAGGGCATGAAGACTTGGGGAGAATGAAGCAGACTTGGGGACACGGAGGGAAAAGAGACAGGACTATGCAAGGACAGCTGACCTGAGGAGCAGACCCACTGCCAGGTGGACGGTGTCAGGGAGGCATGGGCTGGTGAAGTGGGATGGGGGCAGAAAGTAAGGGTCCAAGGCAGAGTTCAGCAGGTGACAGAAGGGAACCTGAGGCAAAGTGCCTCCAAGGGCATAGGAACCAGTTTTGCCTCCTATGTATGTTTCTGTAGCTGCCTTTTCCCTTTCACACCACTCCCCCAGTTTTCACCAAGGCTATAGAATTTGGGGCAGAAACTGTTCAGTTAGAAACTCAGGGACAGTTCAGATACTGAAACATAAAACCATCAGCTATAACCTTAGCGATGTCTTTCCTCCGTCCAGCCCATGGCAGGATTGTGGACGGAGGGAGGGTTGAGAAAGGATCCTTACCCAGGACACCACCCGGCCATTGAAGCAGGGCAACTTGGCATTGTCATCTGAGATCTCCTCCTTCACCACTCTGCAGGGAAAGGGAGGTTGTCAATGAGCTTTCTGGGGTAGAAATGGAGGTGTCCTCACAATCCCAACTATCAGGGGCTCCTCCACCCTAAACTGGGAATCAAACCACCAGCACCAGCCTGTTCAAACAACAGCATGGGTGGGGGTGACCCAGCTGCCTTCCTGGTCACCTGACAAATCGCTGTCCCCCATGAGTGCAACCACTCCCTAGAATCTCAAGAGCGCTTTATCCATCCCCAGTAAGGCTCTCATGGGCTGGACTTTTTCTTTCCCTCTGACCCTAAACTAGGAAAAAGAACACCCTGATTACTGTCCTTCCTTTCTCAATTGGGAATCCTGACATTCTTCTGGGAGGTGTGGGCGAGGAATTTAAGAAAATTAGGAAAGAAAAAGGGAGAAGACATTTACTGCTGTTATGATAATAGTAACAATTGCTCTCATTTATTGAGCATGTATTATGGGTCAAGCACTAAGTGAACACTTTACTTGTATCATTTCATTTACTACAGCAATGCTATATATAAGATACAGATAGGGAGATGAAGGTTCAATAGGTTCAGAAATTCACTTATAGTGACACCACTAATAAGTGAAGTGCTGGAATTTGAATCCTCATCAGCCTGACTCCAAAGCCTTTATTCCTACCAATTATACCATCTTATCTCCCCTCAGTGATAATATATATTCTTCACACCAGCCTCATTGCGTAGACAATATGATCCCCATTTTATGAATAAGGAACTGAGAAACATTCAGTAACTTGTCCAAGGCCACAGAGCTAGAAGATGTCAGAGTTGAAATTCAACCCCAAGCTTGTCTGACTCTAAATCCCACACTCTTTGGACAGTATTTTACATTCTCTCCTGTACAATGACAGAGGTGATGTGGGTCTGTGTGGAAGGTGAGGTAGGGGAGGCAGTGATGTGAGGCATGGGGGGTGGGGGTGGGATGTGGTCACAGGCATGCAGTGAGGCAAGAAGTCAGACTATGACCACAGTTTGGGGCCAGGGAAAGAAACTGGAATAGTTTGAGGTCCCCCAGGAGGACAGAGCTGGAAAGATGTGATTAGGGGCAAGAGGGAGACACATGCCTGGAGCTGTGAGCAGAGAGGGAAGACACTAAGGAAGGAGGCTGTGAAGCCCAGTCTCCCTGTTCTTGAAGAAGTTCTGCCCAGAACTGGGAACGTGCTTGGCTCCTTGCGATGTTCACATTCTTGGACTCACAGCCAAGTTCGAAGGCCGAGCCTACCCTCCTCCCTCCCATCCAGCCCTGGCTCCTCCATCATTTCCAGCCCCACAACGATCCCGAGAAAGCAGCTCAAATCATCCTGCTCAGGGCCATCATGGCAGAAAGCCTGGAGACAGAACAGGCGGGAGAGAAGGGACAGAGAGGTAGCTCAGACCTGTCAGGCAGTCCAGCCACAGGACACCCTAGGCTTGCAGCCCCCTGTGGGACCTGGGGCTCAAAAGGAGAAGAGGGTGCGTGGGACACATGGCAGGGACTCTGTGACCTGCTTCAGGGAGGGTCTCCCTGTGGTGGGAAACCGTGGCTGAGTCCCCACAACCTGCTCCCCCAGCAGGCCCCACCACACAGCTCCAGCTACAGATGTTTCCTCTCTTTCTGGGGGTCACTGACAGGTCGCCAAGGCTCTGTTGACTCATAACGATCAGCTGATCAGCCTCAGAAAGCCCCCCTTCCCAAGTGGAGCTAAAGGGCTCAGGGTTCCACTGCACACGAGCACACACACGTGAACACACACACACACACACACACACACACACACACCCCCACTCTCCCACACACACACACCACTCTCTCTCTCACACATACACACCACACTCTCACAAACTTGGGTTTAAATTCCAATTCTGCTACTTATTAGCCCTCCCATCTTAGAGAAGTTTCTTAACTTCTCCAAGCCTTTGTCTCATCCTGGTAAATGGGATTTGTAAAAGCCTGGCACAATCCAGGCATCCCATAAAAGCTAGTTTCTAACTTTGTGAATTTTCAGCAGGATCCATACTCTCATTCTAATTAGGAGTAAGTTTGCAAGGGCAGGAACCAAACACATCTGCTCATCATTCACCATTCATGCAATTAAAAAGCCTTTGCTTGCCGTTGTATGAACCTCAAGCAGCATCAGACCTGGAGCCTGCCTTGTTCTCTGAGGTTACAGTCCAGTGGACAGTCCACATAAGCATATTCCAGGTGGGAAGTGGTCAGAGTGGTAAGACCAGCAGAGGTGTTCATGGGACAGACACCTGCTGAGTGATACAGATGTCAAGTCCTGGCTAGGAGCAGGTGTATGCACAAATAGGATAAAATACCATAACTTTAAAAGCTGAACCCAGAGGACAGGAGAATTTGGACATGGAGAAGCAGGGGGAAGAAGTGGGTTCCAGGCAAAAGGCCCAGAGGCAGGACAGTGTGACATGGAGCAGGAGGAACATAGTTAGTGACTCTACTTCCCATGTTGCCCCTTCCCACAGCTCAAGGCCACTCTAGCATTGGGTACCGTGTTCTATACACTATCTCCTCAGTGGTAAAAATGCTTATTCTTCTTCCATTTCCCAAATAATTTAAGAGGGTGGGCCTACCCTGAGCTTGACAAATACTTCTGGAGACCTCACAAACCAGCACCTCAGAGGGTGAGCCTGGAGGGGAAGCAGAGACAGCAGCCCTCCTCCTCTGACCCACCGCCCATCTGTCAGTAGAGGCCACTGGCCTCTGCCTGACCTCTTCTTATGGGGCTAGGATAGGTGGCAGCCCTATCACCTCTACAGTTTGCCAAGGCTCAGCATCTCCCTCAGAGAGGATGCATCTGTAAAATGGTGATAATAATAGTAATACCTACAACAGTGGGATTAAGGCCTTGGACTTTAGAGCCAGATTCCTGATGTTGAACCAAGCTTTGCCACTAACTAGCCAGACGGTGTGACCTGGGTAAGTTACTTCAGGTTTTTGTGCTCTAATTTCCTCATCTGTAAACTGATGGTATTACTACCTACTTCATAGGGCTGATAAGAGAATTAAATGAGTAAAAACTAGAAAAGCACTTAGATCAGTGCCTAGTACACTGTAAGCGCCATAGTTTGTTAACTGTGTATGTGTACACACACACACACACACACACACACACACACTCCTCTATTCCTCAGCTATTAGTTGTTTGTGGTAAACCTACCAGGTCTGCTCATTAATCCTTCTGGGGATAAAAACAAAATCAATCTCCAAAATCAATCTCCTCCATTTCATTTTTAGCATTGTTCTCAACCCTGTAAAAATGGCCTACTCTGATACTTTACCAAGGATGGTTCAAGTACCAGCGACATATGCAAGATGTGTTCAGGCGTTACCTGAATGCACATTGCTTAATCCAACAGTTAACATTTATTTTTAACATATCTTATAAAGAAATCTAAGTAGAAAATCAGATGGGTGATTTCCTATTATTGATTTGGTCAAGCTAAGAAAGAGTGAGTGGACTGACAGTGAATTTAAAGAACAATACTATCAATAGTGAGCCGATGTAATGGGGGGCCTCCTATGACCGCAGTGAGGCCTGGCCTGGGTAGGGCCCGTGCACAGGACTCCAGCTGACCTGCCCCTACCCATACCCCGAGGCAGTGTCTCAGCCTCTCCTAACTCTATTCTTCTCTTACCCGGCCAAGGCATCACCCCCTCCCTCCCATCCTTGCAGATGAGTTCATCCTTCTTCCGAATTTTCCAAAGGGGAGTCCCTAGAGAGGCCGGACCTCCAGGATGGGAAAGCAGGGGTGTCTGACTCTGGACTGAGGCCAGGCAATATTAGACATCGGAGCTCCCCGCCCCAGGGTAAGTCTGACAACAGAAAGGAGGTTAGAAGCCGCACAGCACTTTCCACTGGAAAAGCACTTTCACACACAGGAGCTCATGGGCTCATCGAACCCTGAGTTCCAGGGAGGGAAAGGTGACAAGCATGCCAGGCGAAGGAGGGAGAGGGTGCTTGCTGCCCAGGGCCAGGAGGGCCGGGGTCCTGGGAGAGAGGCCGGCCGGCTGGACGCCCGAACACTGGGGAGAAGAATGTCTTCCCTCACTCGGCGCTGGGGCCTCAGCTGAGAGCAGTGCAGGCCTCTGGCCAGGGCTGCAGAGGCTGCCTCCAGGCTTCCCCACAGGCCTCCAGGCCCAGCGCCCAGTTAGTGTGGGGGCCTTCCCCGCCCCCAGTCCCCCAGGAGTTGGGGTGTGTGTGCGGGGATGGCCAGGCTCCCCCTCCCAGGCCAGCTGCTAAGGAACCTTCCGGCTCCAACATTCCATCCCTTCTTAAAGGGGAAGTCGCTGCTTCCAAACTCGGCCTGTCCAGAGCCCACGGCTGGGGGAGGAGGGCACCAGGCCGGCAGGGAGGGGAGGTGGGCGCCGAGGGACGCTTCCCGGCCCTCCTACCCGGCTCCGAGGCCCTTTCCAAGACCACCCCCTGGAGGGAAAAGGCCCCCATCCGGGGAGGCAATCAGCACCTGGGCTAGTGCGGGCTCCTCCTTCGGGGTCAGGCGTTCTGCTCCCTTGACAACCTCCGACACACCCCGCAAGGAAACGGGGAGCAGCTAGGCTCCCGGTCTGCAGGCCTGAGCGGCCAGCCTGGCGCCCGGGCACCCCTCGCCTCCCCCTCCCCGCAGTTCCCAGCCCCGCAGCACAGCGCTGGGATGCTCGGTGCTCCAAATATGGCTCGGAGTGTGGAGCTGGGGAGAGGGAGAGGGAGAGGGCCGAGTGCCAAACACCCCGAGTCTGGGTTTAAAAGGTGGCTCCCTGGGCAGGAGGGAGGGTGGGGGGCTCGGGCTCTGGGACTGGGAGGAGGGGTGTGTGTGTGTGTGTGTGTGTGTGTGTGTGTGTGTGTGTGTGTCTGAGCCGCTGGTCTCAGAGGTGAGCGGGCTTCCTGGGCTGGTCCTGATTGCTCTTGGGGAGCTGGACGCCCCCCTAAACGAGAGCGAAAGGAGCGCCCCTAGAGAGGCTGGACTCCCGGGTCTGAAACAAGCAAGGGGAGCCCAAAGGGCCGAGGGCCCCCAGCATCCAGAGCGGGGCTGGGAGCCAGTGCAGCCAGGGGAGCGCCAACTGCCGAGTGGCCTCTGGAAGCCGGAGGGGCCGGGGTCCCCCGGAGGCGAGGCGGGGGCCATCCTCACCCGAAATCGTCGTCCATAGACTTGAAGAAGAACTTATAGCTGGGCCGCTGCAGAACGCCCTTAAAGTCCGCCAAGGTGACGCGCTCGGCGGGCAGCGGCAGCTTCACCAGGTACGGCGTCTCCTGCCCGTCCAGGTGGTAGATGATCTTGGTCTCGCCCATGGCTCCGGCCTCGGGCCCGGCGGCCCGCGCGCGGCCTGCTCAGGCGGCCGGGCCGGGCCTCTCCGGCGGCGGCGGCGGCGCTCGGCGCGGCCCAGCGGCTCAGCCCAGCCCCGCGCCCGCCGCGCCGCCAGCTCCCTTGTTCTCCGGCCGCTCCCGGGTCCCAGCGCCGCCTGCCGCCGCCGCGGCCGCCGCTTCCGCTCCCCACGCTCCCGGCTCGGCTGGCGACGGCTACTCTTCCGGCGGCCGTGGCCCTCCCGGCTCTGGGCTGCGGCCGGCCCGCTCCCCAACTCCGGCCCCGGCGCGCCCCGCCCCGGCGCGGCCCCGCCCCCGGCCGCCGAGCCGCGCTGGCCTCGCGGCAGATGGCCGGGGCCTCGGCCGCAGACACCCCGCCCACCCGCCGGGCGGCGCGCTGGTTCCTGCTCGGGTCCCAGGCCCCCCGCGAGCGTGGCCGCGCTAGTCTAGGCCCCCAGAGACGCCAGAGCTGATCTCACCAGCATGGCCACGTCCCTGGACGCTCGCCGGTCCAGGCTCCGGACCCGGCGGGGAGGGGCTGCTCCCCTGCAGCTGGGAGGGGGAATGCAGAGGTCGCCTTGGTCTCCAGAGGCGGGTGGGTGGCGGTTCAGACCAAGATCCCTGGGGGAAGGTGACCTCGACGTGGCCCTGTAGGGTCTGTTCGGAAACACAGCTGCTGTCATCAAGTCTACCACATCTCGTGCTGACTCCTTTCATCCTCAGCACCTAAGTGCAAAGCGGTGGTCTAATAAATGGACGGAGCCCAGCCCATTTATAAAGCAGTGGTTGAGCGGCAACCTATGAACCGGAGGTCACGGTTTGAGTCCGGGTCAGGGCACATGCGCGTGTTGTGGGCTCAATCCCCAGTAGGGGGCGTGCAGGAGGCAGCTGATCAATGGTAATCATCATTGATGTTTCTCTCTCTCTCCCTCTCCCTCTCTAAAATCAATATGTTTAAAAAAAAAAAATGGACTGAATGCAGAATGAGTCTGACTGGGACAGTAAGTCTCAAACCAGAACTAGATATAATTGGTTCCTAACAGATCTCCTCACCCCTTCCTAATGAATACTGAGTGCCAAGGCATGCTGCAAGAGATACAACAAAAACAAGTCATAAGGCTGCCCTCAGGACCTTTACTTATCTGGAAGGAGGCTTGCAAATAAACGTCAAAATGACAAATGCTATGAAAAAGATAAAATGGAGTGCCAGGCCCGGGTGGCTCAGTGGTTGAGCATGGACCTATGAACCAGGAGGTCATGATTTAATTCCCGGTCAGGGCACATACCCGGGTTGCGGGTTCGTTCCTCAGTGTGCGATGTGCAGGAGGCAGTGGATCAACGATTCTCTCTCATCATTGATGTTCCTATCTCTCCCTCTCCCCTTCTCTCTGAAAGCAATAAAAAAAGTATATGTATTTTTTAATTTCTGATTTTTATTTTATTTATTTATTAAATCCTCACTCGAGGATATTTTTCCATTATTTTTAGAGAGGGAAAGACAGAGAGAAACATTGACCACCAGGGAGGAGACTGCAATCTTGGTACATGCCCTTGACCAGATCGAACCTCTGGTTTGCAGTCCAATGCTCTATCCACTGAGCCAAACCAGCTAGGGCTAAAAGTAGCTTAAAAAAAAAGAAAAAAAGATAAACTAGAGTGATGTGATGTAACAGGAGAAAGAAGGTTATGGGTGATCAGAGAACACCTCTTTCATTTGAGCTAAAACCTAGAACTAATGAGGAAGCAGCTATAAGAAGGTCTGTCTGGTCTGGAGGGAGAGCATTCCAGCTGAGGGCACGACAAGTATAAGGGTTCAAGGCAGGAAAAAACTTGCCTAATTTGAGGAACAGAAGAAGGCTATTGTAACTACAGGAATAGTGTTAGATGAGAAAATAAACTGTGACCAGCTCACACAGGTCCTTTTAGGTCACAGCAACAAGTGTGGGCTCCTCTCACTTCATTTTGTACACTATTGCCAAATTAACATTTCAAGAATAAGTACCTTTTCAGACACTTCTGCTCAGAAACTTCTCCACATTCCCCTGTGCTTTCCAAATATCCTTAGTATAATATTGAAAACCCTCCATAATCTAACCTATATCTTATACAGCCTTTTGTTTCATTATACATCCTGGCTAAATTTTTAAAAATCCTCACCCCAGGATATATTTAGAGAGAGAAAGGGAGGGAGGGAGAGAGAAAGAGAGAAACATTGATTGGTTGCCTCCTATAGCCACCCGGACTGGGGATCCAATCCAAAACCTAGGTATGTACCCTGAACGGGAATCAAACCCACAATCTTTTGGGGTATGGGACGATGCTCCAAACAACTGAGCTGCCCCACCAGGGCCTGACTAAATTTTTGACTTCAGCAAGGTGACCTTATTAGCTATCTCTTACACAAACATGTATTTTCATTTCATACCCTTCCCTTTATATTTTTACTAGAGGCCCAGTGCATGGATTCATGCACCAGTGAGGTCCCTCACCGGGGCCTGTGGGGATGGGGTGAAAACAGCAGTCCAATGCCGCCTGCTGCTCCTGCCTGCCTCTCCTGCTCATCTTGGCCCTGCCGAGCCTGCTGCTGCCTCCCCTCGGTAGGCTCGCACCTGCTCTGTTGCAGTGGGCAGCCATGAGCCCTGAGTGTAGAGCCTGTCAGTCAGTGGTCAGCTGAGTGGCGTTGCCGCTGTGGAAGTGCACTGACCACCAGGGGGCAGCTCCTGTGTTGAGCGGCTGCCCCCTGGTGGTCAGTGCACATCATAGCAATCAGTCGACTGGGCGCTTAGGCTTTGATATATATTCTAGATGTCCAGTGCACGAAATTCGTGCACTCAGGAGGGGGGGCGTTCCTCAGCCTGGCCTGTGCCCTCTTGCAGTCTGGAAGCCCTTGGGTGATGTCCAAGTGCTGTTGTGGGGAGCAGGTCTAAGCCAGCAATCAGACATTCATAGCCCTGCCACGGAAGCGGGAGAGGCTCCAGCCACCGCTGCTGTGCTCGCCAGCCATGAGTGGCGCTCCCCCTGTGGAAGCACACTGACCACCAAGGGGCAGCTCCTATATTGAGCGTCTGCCCCCTGGTGGTCAGTGCGTGTCACAGCAATTGGTCGTTTCACTGTTTGGTTGATTTGCATACTAGCCTTTTATTATATAGGAAAAACTAGAGGCTCAATGCACGAAATTTGTGCAAGAATAGGCCTTCCTTCCCCTGGTTGCTGGCACCAGCTTCCCTCTGGCACCCAGGACCCAGGCTTCCCTCATAGCCCCAGCTTTGTCTGGAAGGTCATCCAGAAGGACGTCTGTCTAATTAGCATATTATGCTTTTATTATTATAGACTAGAGGCCCGGTGCACAAAAATTTGTGCACTCGGGGGGGAGGGGAGGATCCCTCAGCCTGGCCTGTGCCCTCTCGCAGTCTGGGACCCCTCGGGAGATAACGACCTGCTGGCTTAGGCCTGCTCCCGGGTGGCAGAGGGCAGGCCCAATCCCTAGGTGCAGCCCCTGGTCGGGCTCAGAGCAGGGCCGATTGGGGAGTTGGGGCCCCACCCCCTGTCATGCACAGAGCAGGGCAGATCGGGAGGTTGCGATGCCACCCTCAATCACGCTCAGCGTAGGGCCGATTGGGGGGTTGGGGCACCGCCCCCTGTCACACTCAAGGCAGGGCCGATAGGGAGGTTGCGGCGCGACCCCCTGTCACGCACAGAGCAGGGCCAATCAGGGGGTTGGGGCGCTGCCCCCTGTCACTCACAGAGCAGGGTCGATCAGGGGGTTGGGGAGCTCCCCCCTGTCATGCACAGAGCAGGGCCGATCAGGGGTTTGAGGAGCTCCCCCTTATCACTCACAGAGTAGGGCCAATAGGGGAGTTGGGGCACTGCCCCCTGTCACACACAGAGCAGGGCGGATCAGGGGGTTGGGGCGCTGCACCCTGTCACACTCAGGGTAGGGCCGATGGGGAGGTTATGGCTCTACCACCCCGGCACACACAGAGCAGGGCCCGTGGGCGGCGGTTGGGGCGTCACCCTCTATCACCCACAGAGCAGGGCCGATCAGGGGGTTGGGGCGCCTTCCCCTGTCACAAACAGAACAGGGTGGATAGGGAGGTTGTGGCCCCGCCCCCTGTCACACACAGAGCCGCAGGGTGATCAGGGGGTTTGTGCGCTGCCCCCTGTCACGCTGATCCCGGTGCCGGGAGGCATATTACCCTTTAACTATATAGGATAGAGGCCTGGTGCATGGGTGGGGGCTGGCTGGTTTGCCCTGAAGGGTGTCCTGGATCAGGGTGGGGGTCCCCACTGGGGTGCCTGGCCAGCCTGGGTGAGGGGATGACGGCTGTTTGCAGCTGGTCACACACCCTTCAGGGTGGGGGTCCCCAATGGGGTGCCTGGCCAGTCTGGGTGAGGGGCTGAGGGCTGTTTTCAGGCTGGCGGGTGACTGAAGCTCCCAACCGCTCTTTTTTTTCTTTTATTCTGGGCCAGCTTTAGCTCTGAGGCTTGGCTCCAGCTCTTAGGCCTCCGCTGCTGAAAGCAAGTATCTGGTTTGTTTGGGTTCTATAATCGAAACACTGTTTCAACTCCAGCTCTGAGATCCCGGCCAGCTGAAAGCAGGTTTCTGGGGTTTTGTTTAGCTTCTATATTTGTAACAATGTTTCAAACTGCAAGCTCAGAGGCTGGCAGCAGCAGGTGGGGAACGTTGGAGTCCTCCGTCACTGAAGCAAGCAAGCCTCATGTTTGCTTCAAGCTGCCTGGCTGCCGGCCGCCATCTTGGCTGGCAGTTAATTTGCATATCGCCCTGATTAGCCAATGGGAAGGGTAGCGGATGTACGGCTAATTACCATGTTTCTCTTTTATTAGATAGGATTTTTAAATTAAATTTATTGGAGTGACATTGGTTAATAAAAATTATGTAAGTTTCAGGTGTACAATTCTATAATATATAATCTATATATTGTATTATGTGTTCACTACCTCACCTTCCCTTTATTTATTTTTTATTCATTCATTCGTTTGCTTGCTTTTTAAATTCTTTATTGTTTAAAGTATTATATAAGTCTTCTTTTCCCCCCATTGACCTTTCCCCAGCCACCCCCACCCCCTAGCTGCCTAGCACATGCCCTCACATAGTACTGTCTGTGTCCATTGGTTATGCTCATATGCATTCATTCAAGTCCTTTGGTTGATTTCTTACCCTTTCACTCCCTGCTTCTCTCATAGGTTGGACGGTCTGTTTGATGCTTCTATGACTCTGGTTCTAGAGCAGGGGTGGGCAAACTTTTTGACTCGAGGGCCACAATGGGTTCTTAAACTGGATCGGAGGGCCGGAACAAAAGCATGGATGGAGTGTTTGTGTGAACTAATATAAATTCAAAGTAAACATCATTACATAAAAGGGTACGGTCTTTTTTTTTTTTTTTTAGTTTTATTCATTTCAAACGGGCCGGATCCGGCCCGTGGGCCGTAGTTTGCCCATGGCTGTTCTAGAGTCTCCCTCGTATTTGGTCTCTAGACCTCTAATTCTCAGTGGAAGGAAACAATTTATTTTTAATTTCTTTTTTTTAAAAATATATTTTATTGATTTTTTTTTTTTTACAGAGAGGAAGGGAGATAGTTAGAAACATCGATGACAGAGAAACATCGATCAGCTGCCTCCTGCACACCTCCCACTGGGGATATGCCTGCAACCAAGGTACATGCCCCTGACCGGAATCGAACCTGGGACCTTTCAGTCCGCAGACCGATGCTCTATCCACTGAGCCAAACCGGTTTTGGCTTTATTTTTAATTTCTAAGAACTCTTTTGTTCTCCAGTTCTTCCTTTTTATAGCACTTTCTTCATTCTCTTTTAATTTTGAGAATTATAGTTTCATCCCTGTGTTTTTAAAAAACTCTCTAACACTCATAGTTTCACTAAATCCTTCAATTTCAATCTAGCCCCCAACCTCTCATATCTATTAGATTTGCTGTTGAATCCAGAGGCTCTAATAATTTACATTCCCCCCAAGGTTCACGGGACTATTTCATTTATTATGCTGGGCACTTATGGGCTGTTAGTCTAGAAACTCATGACCTTTGGGTCTAGGACATCTTTGTATTTCTTTGGTCATTTCCTCCCCACCATTTCTCCAAAGACTGAATCTCCCATTTCTTGCAGGGGAGAAATAGAGGTAATCACCTGGCTGGATCCTATGATGGGGATTGGAAGGGCTTTTCTTTTAAAAACTTTTATTGTTGAAAGTATTACCTATGTCCCCTTTTGTCTCCTATTGATCTCTTCTAGGATCCCACCCTCGCCCCCCATCCCAGGCCTCCACCACCCCTTTTGTGTCCATGGGTTATGCATATATGCATACAAGTTCCTTGGTATGATCTCTTCCCACTCACTCACCCCCACCTCACCTCACCCCACCCCCTGCCTTCCCTCCGAGAGACAGTCTGCTCCATGCTTCCTTGTCTCTGGATCTATTTTGTTCATTAGATTCCACATGAGTGAGATCATGTGATACTTGTCTTTCTCTGACTGGCTTATTTCACTTAACACAGTACTTTCCAGGTCCCTCCGTGCTGTCTCAAGGGTAAGAGATCCTTTTTTACTGCTGCATGGTATTCCATGTACCACAGCTTTTTTATCCTCTCTTCTGATGGGCACTTGGACTGTTTCCAGATCATAGCTATTGTAAATTGTGCTTCTACGAACATAGGGGTGTATACATTCTTTCTGATTGGTGTTAAGGGTTTCTTAGGCTATATTCCTAGAAGTGGGATCACTGGGTCAAATGGCAGTTCCATTATTTAATTTTTTGAGGAAACTCCATACTGTTTTCCATAATGGCTGTACTAGTCTGCATTCCCACTAACAGTATATTAGGGTTCCCTTTTCTCCACATCCTCGCCAGCACTTGTCATTTGTTGATGATAGCCATTCTGACAGATGTGAGTTGATACCTCATTGTTGTTTTAATTTGAATCTGATGATCAGTGTCTTTGAGCATTTTTTCATGTCTCTTGGCCTTCCGTTTGTTCACTTTGGAGAAATGTCTAATTAGGTCCTTTGCCCATTTTTTAATTGGATTGCCTTCCTTTTGTTAAGTAGTATGAGTTCCTTATATATTCTGGATATTAACCCTTTATCAGATGTATCATTGCCAAATATGTTCTCCTATACCAGTGATGGCGAACCTTTTGAGCTCGGCGTGTCAGCATTTTGAAAAACCCTAACTTAACTCTGGTGCCGTATCACATATAGAAATTTTTTGATATTTGCAACCATAGTAAAACAAAGATGTATACTTTTGATATTTATTTTATATATTTAAATGCCATTTAACAAAGAAAAATCAACCAAAAAAATGAGTTCACGTGTCACCTCTGACACGCGTGTCATAGGTTTGCCATCACTGTCCTATACAGTGGGCTCCCTTTTCATTTTGTTGGTTTATTTTGCTGTGCAGCAGCTTCCTATTTTGATGTAGTCCTATTTTCTCCTTAGTTTTCTTTGGCGTAGATGTATCCACAAACACATTGCTATGAGAGATGTCTGAGATTTTGCTGCCTATGGTTTCTTCTAGGATTTTTTTAAAAAAATATTTTATTGATATTTTACAGAGAGGAGGGGAGAGGGATAGAGAGTTAGAAACATCAATGAGAGAGAAACATTGATTAGTTGCCTCCTGCACACTCCCTACTGGGTATGTGCCCGCAATCAAGGCACATGCCCTTGACCGGAATCGAACCTGGGACCTTTGAGTCTGCAGGCCAATGCTCTATCCACTGAGCCAAACCAGTTAGGGCTCTTCTAGGATTTTTATGGTTTCATGTCTTACATTTAAGTCTTCTACCCATTTTGAATTTAATGTATGATGTAAGTTGGTGGCTTAGTTTCATTTTTTTTTGCATGTATCTGTTCTTTCAATTTTCCCAACACCATTCATTGAAGAGACTGTCTTGACTCCATTGTATGTTCTTGCCTCCTTTATCGAAGATTGGGCATAATGCCTTGGGTCGATTTCTGTGGTCTCAGTTCTGTTCCATTGGCCTATGTCTGTTCTTATGCAAATACCAGGCTTTTTTATTATTATTTATTTTTAAGTGTTGGGCTGTTATTTTTAAAAAATATATTTTATTAGATTTTTTACAGAGAGGAAAGGAGAGGGACAGAGAGTTAGGAACATCGATGAGAGAGAAACATCAATCAGCTGCCTCCTGCACAACCCCCACTGGGGATGTGCCCACAACCAAGGCACATGCCCTTGACTGGAATCGAACCTGGGACCCTTCAGTCTGCAGGCCGATGCTCTATCCACTAAGCCAAACCGGTCAGGGCAGTGTTGGGCTGTTTTGATTACAGTGGCTTTGTAGAATAACTTGGTATCTGGTACAGGGATCCCTCCAACTTTGTTCTTCTTTCCTAAGATTGCTGCGGCTATTTGGGGCCTTTTTTGGTTCCATATACATTTTTGGAGTATATGTTCTAGATCTGTGAAATATGCTGTTGGTAACTTAATAGGGATTGCACTGAATCTATGGATTGCTTTGGGTAGTATGGACATTTTAATGTTAAGTCTACCAATCCACAAACACAGTATATTCTTTGGAGGGTATTTTCTTACATAGGTTTTTGTGATCCCCCTCTATTCCATCCCATTTTCAGCCCCAATCTTTACCCCTTTCTGCTGAGCCTTTTCTGGGTTCAGAAGGGCATATTGATTTGCTTTTTTTGTTAATAACCAACCTGAGCAGGTGGAATCCGTTTCAGTCTGTTCTAAGTTAACGTTCACTCTCTCATTTATTTTTCATTTTGCAAAATGTTGATGTCTCCCATTTATTATTGTCAACTAGTTTCCCTTATCACTGAGTCATGTGCTTTTTTATTATCTTTGTTAATCCTCCCCCAAACATATTTTTTTCCATTGATTTTTAGGAAGAGTGGAAGGGAGGGAGGAAGGTTGAAGAGAATCATGGATGTGAGAGACGCCATCAATTAGTTGTCTCCTACACAGGCTCTGACCAGGGCCAAGGTTCAAACCTGCAATCCAGTTACATGCCCTTGACCAGGAATTGCTCTCAACCCTTTGGTGCAAGGGCCGATCTCTAACCACTGAGAAACACTGGCCAGGGTGTCATGTGTTTTTTTAAGGAATCCTCTTAGTGGTATTTGAACAGGGCTTTGGAGGGAGTAAAAGCCCATGTGTTTAATTTGCTGTATTTAAATGGCTTTGTTTTAAATGTTCCCTTCTACCCTTTTCTATTTTTTAGGCCACTCAAGCATCACAATCCTGTAAGCCTTCCCTAATCACTGCAACTGGAAGGAATCTGTTCCTCCTAAAAAGTTCTATAGGCCACTCTGATCTCTGCCACCCATTTGGTAGAAAGCAGAGGTGCCCTATAGTTATTTGTATTTAACTGACTTTATTGGGTCCATGACATGACCTTCAGATGCTATCCAGGCATTAGATCCTATAACTGGCAAAGCAGAAACTGAGATTGACTAAGGAAAGTAAATAACGCCAAATCCTGGCCAGCCTGTTTTTCCTCTTTAAAAATACTTAGTAATGTCCTTTCACACCTTGAGCATAGTTCACGATCCTCCTCTTCAGCTAACTCCATTCCATCCAACTGAAATGAAGGGAGGCAACCATTTTATCTGTGATTTCCAGGAGGGCCATTGTTACCAGTACCATTTGCCACAATTTAAGTGTCAATAGAGTATAGGTTATTATGAAGACAACAAGAGCTCAAAATGATGAGATAGAAGACCATATGATTGAGGTTAAAGGAGACAATACAGCAGTGACAAACTCCAGCTGCAGAGTCCTGTAACAAAGCCTGGCCCTATCAATTCCCAGTTACAGGACCTCTCTGAACGCCAGGCTCATCTGAAAATGGGGATAAGGCTACATCATAGGGCTGATGTGAGTTAACTAACACATGAAAAGTTTTTAGCAAAATGCCTATTATACAGTAAACTCTCAACATCAGGGGAAAACCTACTTTGCAGGATTTTATTGTTTTTAAGATATCCATTGCTGGCTTGGGTTATATAAGCCTCTGTGGGCAACTTCCCTTCACCTAGGCACTAAATCTGCTGAAGCAAAAAAAACTCTGGCTTATGAGACTCAACTCCTTAGCTTTACCCCGAGAATGATGAGACCTTGCCCTAGCTGGTTTGGCTCAGTGGACAGAGCATTGGCCTGTGGACTGAAGGGTCCCGGGTTCAATTCTGATGCAGGGTACATGCTGAGGTTGTGGGCTCGATCCCCAGTAGGGGGTATGCAGGAGGCGGCCGATCAATGATTCTCTCTCATCATTGATATTTCTATCTCTCTTTCCCTCTCCCTTCCTCTCTGAAATCGATTAAAAAAAAAAAAGTAATGAGATCTTGAGCAAATTTCCTTATCTTTAAGATGAAGAGTAGCCCAGTTCCCCTGATAGTAGTACTGGATCAACTGGACAAAGCATGAGGGACTGGCAGGTGGTTAATGGACTTTATACATGTTTGGCATCATCACTCTCTGGCAGGAAAGTGCTCAGACTGGGGCACTCTCTGGAAACAGGCTCGGGCACACCACTCCAGGATCACAAATAGGTCTGCAGAGATGAACTCCTCCAATATCCAGGAGCCCTGGCAATAGTCAATTAGCAAGGCACCACACTACCACCTAGTGGCCATAACACTCCTCTTCTCCTGCTCCCCCAGGTGTTAAGGCTGTCTTGTCAGAGGTTCAGAACTCTTTGGTCACCAATTTCAACAGCTGATCAGTCAGAGTTGGACAGAAACCAAACACACCCACTCTCTCTTTTTTTAATATTAACAAATACAAGCAGCAGAAAAGGCCAGCTGCTCTCTGCTGCTTCCCGAGGGAAAGCCAAAACACAAAGCTGTGCCTCTGGCCTTCCTCTAACTGCAGGGCCGGCTTAGCTCCTCATTAGGCAGAGCTTTTTTCCAGCCCAACTTCCCTTATCCCAACTCCCCAGTCAGGATGTGAGGCACATGGTTGCTGGCGGCGAGAAGAATACTGTAGTTCCAGCCTCTGCTCCTTTAAGTCTCAGCCAGGATGGTGGTCACTCATATTCTGCAACTAGCCTCTCACTTGCCCTGGCCCAGAAGCCAGGAGGGCCTTCACTCACACCCACAGGAGCAGGCAGTAGGACTTCAGTCATCTTCAGATGACTCCTCTTCTGCTTCTTTTAACCACTGGATGAACCTCTGCAGCTGTAAGACAGCATAGAGGAGAGCTACTGAGGGAGGGGCACATAACCCTCCTGTTCTCCTTGGTGGATAAACAGCTCAAACAATCAGAGTCCCAGGGACCAACCACCCTGTGGGCCAAGGGCCAGACGACCACCATGGCAAGAGGGTATCCTGACTCACCTGTTGGTTCTTGCGCAACTGTCGGCCCTTGTCAGTTGTATCCTTTTGGCTGTACCAGCTTAGGATTGTTTCCTCAGCTAGGATCTCCAACTGGTAGAAAGCCATCAATACCTGCAGAAGGCCAGCAGAGATCTCAGAGACCATGCAGAGTCCAGCAAGATTAATGGATAACAGAGGAAGAGGAGGCAAGATCTTAGCACCTCTCACTACCAGGTTCTTAGCTCTCTTCTACACTGAACAGCCTTCTCCAAAACAGAAAAGAGTAAGCTCTTCACAGTGATACTGGGACAGGTATAACTTCTGGAACTCTTGCTAGGTAGTGCTCTATGCATTCCCAGGGCAAAGCTGTACTATCCCAGCAATGAACACAATACCAGGGATGGATGGTGCTGTTAACCAAACTCCATATTGGATTCATGTCAGTCTCTTTGTTTGTAGCTCCATGGAGGTCACCAAAGCCTGTTTCAAAGCAAATGCAGGACTATGAGTCTTGAGGTGGTATTCACCTTGGCCATGGAAGTACCAAGAGCTTCATGCTCCAGGAAGAAGTCCTCTATGGCTGCCAGCACTTCCAAATGATCAGCTGCACGCTTTATGTAGTTCCTAAAAACAGGGCTCCAGGCCTTGAGCAGCTACGGAAGAAAGGAAAAGGGAGCTGCAACACATGCCTGAGACATATACATGGACAGCAAAGAAAATAAATATTGATAGCATGCATCTTTCATGATATGGGAAGACAAGGAGATGATATAGGCCCTGAGGAATCATATCAGAAGGACTTAGTAACTGCTAGCCGTCAGGGTTGGGGAAAAAGAGGTTCCCCAGCGGTGGTGAAAGGGGGTCAGATATGCAGGCTGCCTCAAAAATACCCATTCCCAGCCTACAGGTTGACCTTATTCTGAGTCAAATCATTTACAGTCAGAGAGTCTAAAGTCCAGATCTGTTCTGGGTATACCTTTGGGGTCTGGTATAGCCTGAATCCTGGAGTCTCAAAGGCCATTCAGGATTGAACCTAACTTGACTCCTCTGGACCAACCAAAGCTGCTCTAGAATCCAGTCTGATTCCAGAGGTGAGGAGAAACACAATATGCCACAACAAGACCTTCTATTCCTGATTTCTTTTAAAATCACCACAGCAAGGATGTGTATTTGCTTCCACCCAACCCCTTGTACTCAGCCCCAATCTTTGCTCACGGGAAGCAGCAGGGCACAGTAGCGGTTTGGATCCAGCGGGGAATCCATTTGTTGCAGGGGGAATTCCAGGACCACGTGGCTCAGTACCTCCATCACCTCCTTTAGGCTTATGTTGTAGGCGTACCTGTGGGGAGACTGTGGTGACACCAAGGCCTTCATTGGCCCTTTCAGCATGCTGTAGGGCTGACTTTGGTAGGACACTGGGGAAGAGGAAGTCAGATGGAACAACGTGGAAGGGAGAATTTTGGAAGGAGAAATATGCCAAGACTAAAACCTAATGCTCTCTTTGCTCCAAATGCTAATGGCTTTGTACATTCGGGATGTCAAGGAAACAGGTTCCTACATGGGAAAGAACCAGGAGAGCCTCTATCTGCCTGGGATTACTCCAGGGAAAGAAAATAGGGAGGGGCTGTTCTTACTTGAGAGAGTTGATCTCTAGGACTAGGTTATCACAAGAAATGTTCTCCTCCTTGCCCCGCTGTAGTGTTCCCAGGACTTCATTCTGGAACACTAAAATCAAAGCAAGAATAAGTTCGTGGGGCCAACATTACTCCAGAAGGTGTTAAGTCATTTAGTTCTGACTTGATACCAAACCTCTCCTGGGAGGAATACAAGTCTTTGGCTGGTTGATCCAGATAAAGAATAAACTGGAGGTTTTCCTCTTTCATCCCAAGATACCGCTTCCCTGGCCACTCACCTTTGATGTCATCCATCTGTGGGGAGCCTGCCCGGCTATCTAGCTCCTCAGAATCCATACTTCGCTCACTTTCTGTTTCACTTTCTTCTTCTATGTTGATCGTGAGTCCTGAGAACCCATAAAGGGTGAGAAAAAAGAAAAATAAGGAATGAGCCATTGACAGAGAATCATATATATGGCCTGTCTGCATGAATAAAGCAGTGAACAAGTAGTCTGATTCTGAAGTGTTCACTCTCCTTTAAAATGTTCTGATTCAGAAAGGGTGTGTGTGTGTGTGGCAGGAATAGGCCTATCTCACCCCACAGATTCTGCCGTAGTTCTTCCTCTTCTTCCATGTTCATGTCTGCAGCTTTCCAGAGGTAGCCCTGGCCTGCAACTCCGACTTCTGCTGGATTGTAACCTGGAACGACAATGATCTTTAGCAAGGGCCTGTGGAAGTACGCATTCCTCCAGGAGGAAACACTGGTTCTTCTATGGGGCAGAGACACACAATGCCCCACACCTGCTGAGCCTCACACCTTTCAGCTTCACTTTCTCCTTTTCTTGATCAGCCCCAGAATCATCACTGAACTGGCTATCGTCCTCATCTTCCTCTGCATCTGGAGGATGCAAAGAGATCACCGAGCCCTCAGGCAGTGTGATGTTTGGACCCACTACCACCTAGGGGAGAAAAAAGGAGTGGGTGGCACAGATCCATTAGTGTGCTGGGGAAAATTACATTCTGACAAAGACAGTGACTAAGCCAAGTAGCAGGCAAATGAAACCACTGGATTTGGAATCTCAGTTCGGGCTGAATTATAGGTGGACATAGGTCCCTTCTGGTTTAGCATGACCACCACTCAGTTTGGGGCCTGTACAGAGTATGGAACCGGTTCTCACCTGGGAAGTGAGGACACAGTGTGGCTTCAGTGTAACTTGTTCCTTGACCTCAGCATTGTCACAAAGCAGAGACTGATGGATCTGTGCTCCAGCAGCCACTCGAACACCCTGCCACAGGTAGGCCTGGTCCAGCACCACGTTATCACCTGGCTCAGGACAGGAAGAACTCCTGGTCACTCAGGGCTCCAACTCCAGACCAGGGCTATTCCTGGAAGACATGGCTGACTGATACCAGCATAGCTCCCATCCAGCTCAAATACTCCATCCCCCAACTCACCAGAAATACCTGCTTCCCTTCTAAGCCCAGGCCTGAGAGTAGAACATTGCTCAGCCTGACCATCCTCCACCAGGTTTATGACAGCTTATATGATTTGGCTGGAGAATAGTGGGCAAAGGCCCTGAAGGTGGGATTGTGCTGTAGTACTATCACACAGGACTTAAGAACCTGAGAACCCTCAAGATTTCTGGGGACCTCTAGAACTCAAGAAACTTATTAGATTCATGTCCATATCTATCCCACCTCTTCTTGTACATTTTGAATTAAAATCTTATTGGTCTTTTAAAGAGGCAGTTCAATTGAAAGAATCACATTCCTACATCTAAAGTGAGTCACTAAGAGGCTAACCAGACAGTATGACAGAGTAAAAAGGACACTGGACTTAACAATCAGAATACTTAGATTTAAGCTCCAGCACTGCCTCTTTAGCTATGACCTTGGGCAACACAACCTCTTTGAGCCTTACCTATAAACTGGGGATAAGTAACACCTTCCTCACAAGGTTTTAGTGAGGATTAAATGAAATAATGTATGCAAAAGGTCTTTGTAAGCTGTAATGTACAGATGTTGTTATTGCATGTTAATTATCCACTTGGTCTTGAATATGAATACAGGGTACCCGGGAATGTGAGGAATCACCCAGTAAGAGGCTCACAGGGCACAAACGACAGCCTCACCGTTTTTACCTCTCTGTTCCCTCCTTTGTTAAGGGAGCCACTCTAGTTCCCTATTCTCAAGGACTAGTCCTGTCTCCTCTGGAGACATGGGCCTCCCCAGGTTCCTACTCTTAAGATGACTGGCTTGACTCCCCCACCTGTGCTCACCAATGTGACAGCCAGGGCCAATGACACTATTGGTGATGGAGCAATTGCTGCCAATGACAGTGCCAGAGCCCAGGAGCACATTTTCCTCCAGGATGCTGCCATGGCCCAGGCTGACCTCAGGCCCTCGGTAGATGTTGTGCCGGGAATGAGTGCAGTTCTGAGTTGTGTTGTCAGTGAAGTTTGCCTCTGGGGTGAGAGGGTAGACCCATCGGCGGATGACATCAGCGCAGACAGCTGCATACATGTGTAGGTTGGAGACTCGGGCACCATATTCCCTAGTTGTCACATGCATGTGGATCTGGTTCCCTAGAATCTGAGGACAAGGAAAGGGAGGTCGCCCAAGCAAGCAAGAGAGGAAGAACAACCCCAGGTACAATACTTTTCTTACCTTTGTAAGTTTCCCTCTGCCACTCAATGTCACAAATGGCCTGAGACTTTTCTTTGTGTACTGCTTCCCCCCCAACCCCAGCTATTTTCCTCTCTCCTAAGGCTCAATAAAACAGAAAAGGGGATTGGGGGGCTTGAGGACACATTTGTAATACCTTAACTAATAAAAAAAAAATAAATAAAATTAGTAGATGAAAAAAAAACAAAAAACAAACAAACAAAAAACAGAAAAGGGGACCAAAAGTTATCTGCATGAAATGAAATCTTAGCCCTCTTTTATTATTTTGTTAAAAAAATTTTTTAAATTTATTGATTGATTTTAGAGAGAGAGAGAGAGAGAGAAACATCAATCTGCTGTTTCACCCATCCACGCATTCACTGGTTCACTCTTGTATGTGCCCTGGTAGGGGATTGAACCCAAAACCTTGGCATATTGGGAGGATGCTTCAACCAACTGAACTACCCAGCCAGGCTTAGTGCTCTTTTAAAGAGGCACTGGGAGCCTTTTCTTACCTCCTCATTCACTAATAGGCCTCGCACAAAGTCGTCCCGAGTTTGGTAGTCAAAGTTGTCTGTAAAGAGTTGAGCCACCTATGGGAGGAAGTTGGATGGGGTCAAGGTTAAGTGCTAGTCACTGGAAGCAAAGATAAGTCCCCAGAGACCTATCAGACCTATGACAGTGGGACAAGGGCCAGAATCCCAATATTGGGGTCAAGATGACAGCAACTATGTGCTGTAGAACAAATTAGAGAAAGAGGGAGTAGAAATATGCCCCTGGCCTTCTGGGGACGGGGAAGGGAAGTAACACATCCTCAGAGTTCTACTCTTTGATGTGCAGCCCTGACCGTGAAGGGTTCACCTGAGGAGAGCAGATGCTGATATGACAATCCAGTAAATCATAGCGAATCTCCACTCCATCTCCACTTCCCCGGAACAAACTCTATGGAGAGAAGTTACAAGGATTTTAACCAGTCACACTGAATCCTGTCACTTTCCCACTTCAAAAAACCCAGACACCCACACACCAGAGGAAAAGAAAAACGTCGAAGGCCTTGGGTCTTCTGAAAATGGAGAACTCGGTTTGTGGCACTATCCATAGCCACTACCACATTGTCCTCATGGCAACGAGTTGGGTGACTGGGGGATGATTCCTTGAAGATCATTGTCATCACAGACACATTTTTTTCTAGCTTTCGCCTCAACCTACAAAGGATAGGAGGGAGAGAGTCTTAGGGCTCTGCTGGTCCCATACCGTTGTCCCTACCATTTTCCCATCCTGACCTGTGTTCCTCCAGGGCTCTGGTAATATTGATGTTTGAGATGACGTCCCCATATACCAGAAGGAAGTCGGAGCGCACCAAGGCCTTGGCATCAACATCACGGAGAACATCCCCCAGTGATCGATATAGATCTGATGTAATTATTCGAACCACATTGAGAGATGTAGGGCGGCACCACTTGGATTTCCTAAAGGAAGTGGGGGGGGGGGGTGGTGGCAGTGAAGGGATTGAGTAAATCAAACATAAAGATCATGTAGAACTTCCCCATTTTCTCCCCCAATCAACATTCATATTCCTTCTCTGGCTTTTCTGAATTCCTGCCAGCGTCCCTCAACTTCAAAGAGCTTTATGAACTTATAATGAATGGTTTCAGCATCCTGTGTCACCAGGCTTGTTTTATGGGTTAGAGAAGCATGGTTATTTCCTCTCCATAGCCTAACCCCTATCCCCAAACATGGATTTGAATTCAAATTCCTGCTGAGACTTAGGCTATACAAAGTTTCCTGGGAACACACTTTTCATGCCACTTTTCTCCTTTCAAAACCCAGACCAAATGTAGGAACTGTCTATTGGAGACTATGCTAATAACCAAGTCTTTATTTCCTAAGCTTCCATAAGTCCTGACATTTACTTTTCCACGAAGATTTCACCAAACATTTGTTACGTGCTTATTATGTGTTTGGTAGTAAACTAAGCACTGAGAATACTAAGATGAGGAACACCACATTTAGTGGCTTACCACAGCAATAAAAAACAAAACAAAACAAAAAAACAAACAAAAAAAGCAACCCCCCCAAAACAAAACAAACAAACACAAAAAAGAACAAAGATGAGGAACAGCTCAATATTTAGAAACTCAGTGGAAAAACAAACATGTTACTCTTATAACTTCCATTTTGGAGCCATTCAATAAAAAGCAAAACCCACTGGGATCAGACTTTATAAGAGAGTCAGGAAAAACCCAAAGGCTATCCTTTAATCTTTGTCACAGTTTCAACTGCTCACCTCTGATAAGTGAAGAGAATACCCTTAGACCTTATGATGGCCTCGACATAGACACATTTTCCCCTTATTTATTTATATTCATCCTTAGAAAACTGGACAAAAATGGTGAAACATGGAAAGAAAAGTTGCAGGGCCTTACAGTAAATGTTCCTTGATTTGAGCAGCTTTCCAACAACAAAACACAAAGGTTTCCTGTACGCCTGTGGCAGTCAGAAATTCCAAAGTGTAGTCAATTAATGCCACGTTGGCCAGCGGCAAGAGGGCCTGGAGGGCAGATGAAAAAAATGTGAAGTCTTGAATCTGGCCCTCTACGTACCTTTCTTTCTCCCATTACAACAACAATTTTCACTCCTATATCAGTGTTTCCAAATGCTATAGTTTTGTTTTATCTTTCAAACTTAAAAGTAATCAGGCTTCTGCCTTTGATGTTCATAGCATGCTCCAAGCATTAGTCTAGCAGTGGTTCTTAACCTGTGGGTCGCGACCCCTGAAAATACATCCTGCATATCAGATATTTACATTACGATTCATAACAGTGGCAACATTACAGTTATGAAGTAGCAACGAAAGCAATTTTATGGTTGTGTCGCCACAACATGAGGAACTGTATTAAAGAGTCGTGGCATTAGGAAGGTTGAGAACCACTGGTAAGGTGTTGCAATTTGGATATAGTAAGCATAAAATCTACTTGCTTAGCATCAATCAGATACAGAGCTCTTATAGGAGACCCCTCTGACAAAGGAGACTACTGGAAATCAATTTTATCTCCAGAAACTTAAGCGTTGCTAAGGCCCTTTCCCCATAAAATTTCCTTCCTTGATCCCTTTCTAAGAGTCGGGGGCTAGCCAACCTCAATCACCTGTCCAAAATGCATCGCCATGAGGCTTTTTGCTGGGAGTGAGGAGTCAAGGATTTTCCCTGAACTGAACGCAGTTCCCTCTCTCTGAACTAGGAAGGTCTGAGTGACCCAGCAGTATCCAGGACTAGCTCATAGCTCAGTGTCCAGACCAGGGATTTCCAACCGGTGTGCCACAAGAAATCTTAAAACATGCAAATACCTGGCTAATTAGTTAGTCAGGGGCACTGACCACTTTTCCCTTAGATTGTCCAATACAAAATGACAACAGCCAACACAACGACAGGTATCCGGTGTTAAAGAATCAACATTACCAGTATACCTATTTTTGGTCAGATCAGATATATATATATATATATATATATATATATATATATATATATATATATATATATATATATATTTGGGGTGCCGCAGAATTTTTGTAATTAGCTTATCTGTGCCGTGAGATGAAAAAGGCTGAAAATAGCTGGTCTAGACAACAAGACAGAGGCTGCTGGCCACCAGCCACTAAGCCTGTTCTGCGCCTTTGGACAGATGGCACTGGCTGTCATTGAAACCTGGAAGGGAAAAGGGCACTGCACCGAGACCCAAAAGAACTGTCCCTCTGGGATCAGACCCGTCTGCACCTTTTTTAGGCAAAAGGAGGCGATACTCCCTTTCACCTAAGGATTTCTTTTTTTGTCTCCGCAGAAAGGCCTCGCAGCCTCCTCAGGGGGCGTCGACTCTCCGCGTGAGGGCTTCTCACAAGCGCTGCTTCTCCCATTTAGCCCTCCCAAGCCCCCCAAACCCGAGTTAGACAGCACGGCCACGGCTGCCAGCCTCTCCCGCGGTCGGGCTCTGCCAGTCTGCTTGCCCTTCTCCTAACTAGATACACCCGATTTCGGGCAAGGAGGTTGGACACGCGTCTTCCCGGAGCACGCCTCCCCCCCGGCAGACGGAAGGCTAACCAGCTCCAGCCCCCGCCGCTCCGGGCCCTCCGACTGCTCTCTCCCAGGCGCTCACCCGAGGCTGGTCCTTGGAGATGGGGAAGAAGCGGCGGTTGAAGCTATCCGCCACCAGAACGGCTTGTAGGGGCGGCGGCGGTTCCTCCTCCGCCGCTCGGGCTCCCCCCCCGCCGCCGCCGCCGCCTCCCGGCCCGCAGACACTGCGCTTGTTGGCCCGACTGGGCATCGCACCAGGCGGCACCACCACAGGGGTCGCCATCTTCTCTCGGCACCACCACTTCCGCACGGAAACTGACACCGCACGCAGTAGGGGACAAAAAGGACCCAGTACTCAAAACGCGTAGGACCAACGGAGGGAGGGCGGGGAGAGGAGAGTGCGCATGCGCCTCTCCTAGGCGCCGGCCGCGCCAGGAGGCTCAGCAGTTTGGAGCCGGCTTGGGGCGCGGCCGCCGCGAACCTGACTTGTTGAAGCGCTGGGGGTGGGGTCCTATGGACCGCAGACTGGATCTGCAAGTATAGTAGGCCTTCATTTGTACAGGCACAAGATGACATTCTTGCGGGATGATGAGACTTGTGGTCTCTGCGAAGGTGCCAGATCCATTCTGGATATTCTTCCCCGCCCCTAGCTTGTTAAAAATTGTAGCCTTTCGTCATTCTACTCATGCAATGTGACCCGGCACCTTGGGGAGCTCGAGTCAGACATCCCCTTCCCGCAGGGAACTCGGTTTACGTAAACACAAAGCGTGGTATAGTAGGGCGAGTAGTAATTCTCTCGAGCGCCGATTGTGGCCAGGCTCGACACAAGCATGATCTCATTTAGCTCGCCCCACGTCTCCGTGAGAACATACTCATTCGTTCAGCAAACATTTCTTGAACTCTACGAGGGGTGAGGATCACCTGAAAGGCGCGCAGCCCGCCTCTCCGGGCGGTGCGGGAGGAGGAGTCTGGCCGCTGGGCTCTGGGATCCCTCCGCGGCCCCCGGCCTCCCCGGAGCGAGTCCGAGTGTCCGGACCGGCTGCGTGGTGGCCGGCGGCGGGCCGTGGGGTGGGGCCGGGCGGCGACCGACCGCGGGGGAGGTCATGGGAGCGGAAGGCCTCACCGCCTGGCTCTTCCCTCCCTTCCCCCGTGGTCGGCTCCCCGCTTGCCTGCGCTGGGGCCGGGGGTCCATGCGGCCCTTGGGGCCCGGTCGGGGGGGCCGGGGCCTGCGTGGGCCAGCCGCTGGGCCCCATGGGGGGGGCATTGGCTCCCCAGCCCACGGCGGGAGCCCGGCGTGGGCTGCCACCCGCCTGCTGCCCCCCGGACAGGGCCCAGTGCAGCAGCGGCGGCAGCGGAGTGGGGCGCGTGCCCTAGCTCATGGAGGCCGCCATGCTGCAGTGCACCGGCCCCATGGCCGGGCCTGCTCCGAGCGGATGCCGCTCCTCCAGAGCTGGGCCGCTCCACCGGCCGCACCCCGTTTGCTGGGCCTGCGCCGCCCAGACGCGCTGGAGTCCCAGTCTGCCCGCAGGCCGGCTGCGGGTGCTGTGCGGGGGGCCGTCCTGCCTTGTGGCGGGTTCAAGCGGCAGCAGCAGGAGCCGGGCAAGGACTGCGCCCTCCATCTTGCCTTGGGTCCTCCATCTTGGGACGGTACCATGTGCTTCCTCACAGGAAGAAGCCGCTACTAGCCACACCCAGGATTTCTCTGGACTAACCAATAATAATCAAGGGAAGTGCACGCCATCACTATGACCGACTTGCGCCTGGCCAATCAGCGGGGCCCACAGTCCCCTCTCCTGCCCTCACTCCACCCCCCTTTAAAACCCCCTGTCCCATCAGGCGTCTCTCTCTCGGCCACTGGAGCTTACCGTTGCATCGGTGAGTGTGGCAGGGGAGCCAAACCTAGGTTTGAAATAAATGACTCTTTGCTTTTGCATCGGACTGACTGGCTCCCTGGGGGGTCTTGGGAACTTTGAATTCTGGGCACAACACACCCATCTAGTAAGTGGAAGAACTGGTACCCGCTCTGTCTGACTTCATAGTTCCACAATTTTTTTCTGCCAAGTTATGTGGGTGATAAAAATTACTCTTTCGTGGTATCTTCAATCAATCATTCATTCATTCATTCAGCCTCTCAGCATTTATTGAAACCCTACTCTGTCTCCATCAGGGCGCAAATAGGCGTGAATCCAAGAACACTATGCATAAAGTTGAGTGGGTCTGGAGTTAAGCAGCAAGCTTCCCAGGCAGAAGGGACCGTGAGCGCAAAGGTCCGAGGCTCGAGGGGCGCCCACTACCTGGGGAAAGAAGCGGTGGCTGCGGGGGTAACCCCGGGCTGCGGAGTGCGAGACCGTGGGGGGGCGGTGCAGGCGAGGCGAGCCAGCATAGGCGTCCTGCGCAATCAAGGAGCGTTCTCGCCGGGCGGGCGCCCTCTATGCACCTGAGCTCTCTGCATTCTAGATCCGCGGATCCCGCAAACGTCAGCAAAGGCTGTTCCCTCCCACGCGCGCGTTGCCCGTCGGGATGTGGAGTTCGAAAGGCTGACGTTGCTTCTACGTGGCGGTTGCCGCTGGATCAGCGGGACCAGGGCCTCCTCCCGGTGGGATCGAGGAACTTGTCATTTCTGCCCTCTGCTAGTTAATGATAGCGCGGAGAGAGAACCGTTTCTTAAGGATTTTGGAAAATTTAGCCCGGAGAAGGAACGGCTGAAGGCAACTTGGAAAAAGTGTTCACTTAAAATGAGTGTACATTGTAAAGGAAGGTGTTGACTGTCCGGCAAATCCACAGGCGGAAAGAGAGCAGAAGGGTGATTATTAAATAGCACCTGTGATTTGCCTGTAATGGGTGCGCGCGCATGGGTGGGAACAACTTTTGCAGGGATAGGGGTGAGGATGGGGTGTGGAAGCAGGTTCAATTGTAGAAAAATTTTTAAATGACTCTTGAGACCTCGGAAAATGGTGAGTGGTAAATTCAGGCCTTTCTCTGTAGGCAGGTAGCTGATTAGATAAAGGTGTTTTTGTCTGTTTGTTGACATAATATTTTCCCTTTATTTTAGAGCCTAAACGTGCCCCTACTGGGGGGGATTGAATCCGAAACCTGGGTATGTGCCCTAACTGGAATCGAACCTGCGACCCTTCTGTGCACAGGAAGACACCCGGACTACAGGGGCCAGGGCTGATTAGATAAGGTTTTAATGGATGGTCTCAGGGAGAATCTCTCTCAACTTAATTGTTTTGTTTGTTTCAAAACTTAACAACAAAGCAAACAAATATGAGCAAATGCCTTTAGTAGACATTTCTTCAAAGATATATAAATGGCCAATAAGCACATGAAAAGATGCTCAACAACACTAAAAATTAGGGTATTGCAAATCAAAACTGCAATGAGATATCACTTCATTAGGATGGCTACTGTAAGAAACAAAACAAAACAGAGAATACCAAGTGTTAGTGAGGATGTGGAGAAATTGGAACCCTTGTGCATTGTTGGTGGCAATGTAAAATGTTACAGGAGCTGTGGAAAACATGTAGGTGTAATTGTAGAAATTTTTTGTATGGTGGTTCTTCAAAATATAAAATATAGACTTGCCATATGATCCAGCAATTCTAGTTCTGGGTGTATACCCAAAATAAGGGAAAACAGGCACTCAAACAGATACGTATTTATTTTAAAATGCATTTCTGTTGATTTTAGAGAGGAAGGGAGGGAGAGATAAAAACAGCAATGATGAGTAAAAATCATTGATCGGCCGCCTCCTGCACACCCCTCATTGGGGATTGAGCCTGCAACCCGGGCATGTGCCCTGACCAGGAATTGAACTGTGACCTCCTGGTCAATGTGCAACCATTGAACCACGCCAGCCAGGCTCAAACAGATATTTATATACCCATGGTCATAGCAGCATTATTCACAATAGATAAAACATGGAAGCAACCCAAGTGTTCATTGATAGATGAATGGATAAGCAAAATGTGGTATATACATACAATGGAATATTATCCACCTCAAAAAGGAAGAAAATTCTGATATAAGATATAACATGGATGAAAATTGAGGTTATTATGCTAAGTGAAATAAGCTAGTTACAAAAAGAAAAATATTGTATGATTCCATTTATATGAGGTATGTAGAGTAGTAAGATTCATATAGCCAGATTGTAGAACGGTTGTTGCCAGGGGTTTGGGGGGAGGAGGAAATGGGGGTTATTATTTAATGGGTAGAGTTTCAGTTTTGCAACATGAAAAGAGTTATATGGATAGACGGTGGTGATGGTAGCACAATAATGTGAATGTACTGAATGTCACTGAACTGCACACTTAAAAATGGTTAAAATTGTAAATTTTATGTTATATATATTTTATCACAATAAAAAAATTGGAAAAAAACTTACTGGAAAGATAATGAAAACCACCAATACATAATGACACCCCCACCCTCCCCCCACCCCTCCCACACACAAACTCTATAATAAAAATCCCTTCCCCTACTTCTCTCATCCTACTCAACCCCTGGAGTTATAACCATCTATCTATATATATAAAAGCCTAATATGCAAATTGTCCCCTTGGGAGTTTGACCGGGAGACTGGGAGTTCAATCGCTCGCTATGATGTGCCCTGACTATTAGGGAAGGAAGACCCTGGCTGGCAGCCGGAAGGCCCTGATTGGCCCTGATTACTGGCCAGGCCTAGGGACCCTACCCATGCAGAAATTTTGTGCACTGGGCGTCTAGTTATTAATAAGTTGGTGGGCATTCTTTCCATTTCCCCCTGAAGTTTATATATTGATATATCTGTATTTATAAATATACTAGAGGCCCAGTGCATGAATTCGTGCAAGGGTGGGGTTCCTTGGCCTGGCCTGCAATTGGGGCCGATGGGGGCCAGCTGGCCGGGGGGAAGGACTGGAGGAGGTTGGCCGGCTGTGGGAGGTTGGCTGTGAGAGTGCACTGATCACCAGGGGGCAGCTCCTGTATTGAGCATCTGACCCCTGGTGGTCAGTGTGCATCATAGGTACCAGCCGGTCGTCTGGTCGTAATGGTCACTTAGGCTTTTATATATATAGATTATATGCCTAAATACACATATACCATATACACATATTCAAAATACATATATGTATGCCCAGCTGGCTTGGCAGTGGTTGAGCATTGACCTATGAGGCAGGAGGTCACAGTTCAATTCCTGGTCAGGGAATACTAGTATGCCTGGGTTGCAGGCTTGAGCCCCAGTAAATGACTACAGGAGGCATGCAGGAGGCAACCAATCGGTGATTCTCATCATCGATATTTCTCTCTCCTTCTCCCTTCCTCTCCGAAATCAATAAAAATGTGTATAAAAAACCAAAAAAGAACTCCCCCAACCCCATGCATATAAAGTATCTACATGTATATTCACACACAGACTTATGTCTAGAGACAGTGTACTAGATGATTATATGCTGGTACTCCAGAGCCAGAGTTCTTGAGTTGCATTCCAGGCTCTAGTCATTTACTAGGTGTTTAGCCTTGGGCAAATTATTTAATCTCTATGCCTAGACTTCCTCATCTTTGAAATGGGAGAATAATACCTAACCTTAAAAGATTGTGAGGATTACATGAGATAATATGTGAAAAGTTCTTAGAACACTGTTTGACACATTATCAATACAATTTAAGTATTAGCTATTATGATGATGATGCATTTTGTCTGCAACTTATTTTTATTTAATATATAGTGTGATGTAGACAAATCTAGCTTTTTTAATGATTCCATTCTGTAGTATGAATATACCATTATTTATCCAATTATTTCTTTTTTTAAAAAAATATATTTTATTGACTTTTTACAGAGAGGAATGGAGAGGGATAGAGAGTTAGAAACATAGATGAGAGAGAAACACCGATCAGCTGCCTCCTGCACACTCCCCACTGGGAATGTGCCTGCAACCAAGGTACATGCCCTTGACCGGAATCGAACCTGGGACCCTTGAGTCCGCAGGCCGACGCTCTATCCCCTGAGCCAGACCGGTTAGGGCCAATTATTTCTTGATTAATAAACATAAAATTTTTTTGCTATTATACATAATGCTGCAACAAGCATACAAGCATCCTCCTATTGCTCTCTTTATATATCTGCATTTCTTTCTTTTTTTAAATTGATTTTTAGAGAGAGAGTGGAAGGGAGAGAAAGAACACTGGTTTGTTGTTCCACTTATTTATGCATTTATTGGTTGTTTCTTTTTAAAAATATATTTTTATTTCAGAGAAGAAGGGAGAGAGGGGGAGAGAGAGAGAGGGAGAGATAGATAGATAGAGAGAGAGAGCAATGATGTGAGAGAAACATTTATTGGCTGCCTCCTCCATGCCCCTACTGGGGATTGAGCTTGCAACCGAGCATGTGCCCTGACTGGGAATCAAACCATGATCTCCTGGTTCATAGGTTCACGCTCAACCACTGAACCATGCCAGCCAGGCTGATTGATTCTTGTAGGTGCCCTGATTGGGGATTGAACCTGCAACCTTGGTGTATCAGGACAAACACTCTAACCAACTGAGCTATCTGGCCAAGGCTTGCATTTATTTCTTAGATATATAATTCCCATGGCAGGGGACATGCTGTTAAACTCACTGGGAAGTCTGGGGAGGCTTAATTGTTTATGGTGTTATTATTTCATCGCTGCCCATGAAAAATGTGCCATTTTGCCCTTACACCAGCAATGTATGAGAGTGCCTTTCCCCCCATAGCCTCTCTAACAGAGTATGTTGTCAACAGTTTGGACTTTCTGCCAGTTTATAGGAAGAAAAAGTGTAGTTTTAATTTGTATTTCTCTTGTTTTGACTAGGATTGAACATCTTCCCATGTTAAAAGACATTTGTATTTCTTTGGTCAACTGTCAGTACTGGTTCTCTTCGTAAATTAATATATCGGCATTAGGTTTCAAAAGGAGTCTTGAATATCAATCAGTCTATGTAAGCTCCATGAAAATCAGGGCTTTCTGTCTGTTTTAGTTACTACTGTATCCCATATGTCATCTGGCAAATGCTCCATAAATATTTGCTGAATGAATGACTGGTTGTTGCTAGTCAGTAAATGTAATGAGAGTCTTATCAACTTTAGACAATAAATAAAAGTAATTACAGCTCTAGCTGGTTTGGCTCAATGGATAGAGCATTGGCCTGGGAACTGAAGGGTCCCAGGTTCAAATCCGGCAAGGGCACAAGCCTGGATTACAGGCTTGATCCCCAGTAGAGGGCATGCAGGAGGCAGCTGATCAATGATTCTTTCTCATCATCATTGGTGTTTCTATCTCTCTCTCCCTCTCCCTTCCTCCCTGAAATCAATAAAAATATATTTTAAATAAAAGTAATTTCAGGCCCTCCCAAGCTGAAGCTCATGTTTTTTGGTTTTTAATTGTGGTGAAATACACATAACAAAATTTATTATCTTAATCATTTTTAAGTGTACAGTTCAGTAGTGTGAAGTACTGGCAACTGCTATCCTACTATCTGTCTCTATGAATCTGACTACTCCAAATACCTCATATAAGTGAAATCATATAATGTTTGTTCTTTTGTTACTAGTTTATTTCACTTTACATAATATCCTCAAGGTTCATCCATTTTGTAGCATATATCAGAATTTCATTACTTTTTAAGGCTGGATAATATTCCACTATATGTATACTTTATATATTGTTCATTCATTTATTTATCAATGCACACTATTGTGGGTGGTGGGCGGATGGGGGAGCGGCGGGGTCAAGCATGGCAGACCACATTTTCTCTATTCCCCTCTAGCCTCGCGCCTGGACTCTGCCCCTGGGCTAAATCGGCAACATGAGTGGCAACAACTTGGATGAGAAAGATGACTTTGATGAGCAGTTGCGAATGCAAAAGTTGTATGGAGACACTAAGGATGGAGATACCCAGAAAGATCCCAGTAGAGAAACCAATTCTTTCAGGCAGCAGCCAGATGACACCCCCTACGAGTGGGACCTGGATAAGAAGGCTTGGTTCCCCAAGATCACTGAAGATTTCATTGCTACATATCAGGCCAATTATGGCTTTCCTAATGATGGTGTGTCTAGCTCTACTGCAAATGTTCAAGATGTTAGTAGTAGGCCTGCAGAGGCAACTCCTCAAAGAAAAACTTCTGAACCCAGTGATCCCAAAAATAGGGGAGAAAAGAGAAAGGCTGAATTAGGATGGTTTCATGTTGAAGAAGACAGAAATACAAATGTATATGTGTCTGGCTTGCCTTCAGACATTACACTGGATGAATTTATACAGCTCATGTCCAAGTTTGGCATTATTATGAGAGATCCTCAAACAGAAGAATTTAAAGTCAAGCTTTACAAAGATAATCAAGGAAATCTTAAAGGAGATGGGCTTTGCTGTTATTTGAAGAGGGAATCTGTGGATCTTGCATTAAAACTTTTGGATGAAGATGAAATTAGAGGCCACAAATTACATGTCGAGGTGGCAAGGTTTCAACTGAAGGGGGAATATGATGCCTCTAAGAAGAAGAAGAAGTGCAAGGATTATAAGAAAAAGCTATCTCTGCAACAAAAGCAGTTGGATTGGAGACCTGAGAGAAGGGATGGGCCATCCCGAATGCGCTGCGAGCGAGTTGTCATCATCAAAAATATGTTTCATCCCATGGATTTTGAGGATGATCCATTGGTGCTGAATGAGATCAGAGAAGATCTCCGAGTAGAGTGTTCAAAGTTTGGACAAATTAGGAAGCTCCTTCTGTTTGATAGACACCCAGGTGGTGTGGCCTCTGTGTCCTTCAGGGATCCAGAGGAAGCTGATTATTGTATTCAGACCCTTAATGGACGGTGGTTTGGTGGCCGTCAAATCACTGCCCAAGTGTGGGATGGAACTACAGATTACCAGGTGGAGGAGACCGAAAGAGAAAGGGAGGAAAGGTTGAAAGGATGGGAGGCTTTCCTCAGTGCTCCTGAGGCCAATAAAGGTCTTGGCTGTTCAAAATCCATCTGTGCTTCAGAAAGGGCAGGGCCTTCTAGAGGAAGACATTTTTCAGAGCACCCTAGCTCATCTAAAATGAAGGCTCAAGAAGCTGCAACTCAAATGGAATCTGAAGAACCTGTAGATGAAAAGTTTGAAAAAACCAAGGATGGGGGAGAATTTGAAGAATATGCTAAAGAAAGTGACCTCAAACGAGAGGCTGAAGAATGCTATCCCCAAAAAGAATCTGAAAGAAGGTATGAGGAAGGCTACCCCCAAAGAGATTGTAGAGACTGCCTTGAAAAAGAGTCTGGAGAAGGTAGTCCCAAAAAAGAGTTGGAAGTGGTTAGTCCTAAAAAAGAGGCTAAAGTGAATGGCCCTGGAAGAGAATCCAAAAAGCGACTGAAAAATAATTTTGAAGAGAATGGCTTTGAAAAGGAGTCTAAAGAAGATGGTCCCAAGAAGGAGTCTGAAGAAGAGAATGGCCCCCAAAAGGAGTTTGAAGAAAATGAGTTGGAAAGAGAACCTGAAGAAGACTGCTCTGAAAAGCTGTTTGAAGATGGTCCTGAAAAAGAATTAGAAGAAAATGGCCCCCAAAAAGAGTTTGATGAGAATGGCTCCGACAAGGAGTTTAATGAAAATGTGCTCGAAAAAGAGTTAGAAGAAAATGACTCTGAAAAATCAGAATTTGAAGATGACAACTCTGAAAAAGTGTTTGATGAGGAGGGCTCTGAGACAGACTTTTACGAAGAATCAGATGAAATGGAAGGAGAAGGAGATACATATGAAAAAGTTTTTGATGAGGAGTCTGATGAAAAAGAGGACGAAGAAGATGCAGATGAAAAGGAGGAAGGAGATGATGCAGATGAAAAGATGTTTGAATATTCAGATGAAAAAGAAGATGAAGTGGATGCAAAGGAGGATGTAGAAGGTATAGATGAAAACATGTTCGAAGATGGTGATGCCAACGAGAAGTTGTTTGTAGAGGATTCCTGTGAGAAGTTGTTCGATGATTCTGATGAGAACGGGACGGTGGGTGGTTTGGGGCATGTTCAGGAAGAAGGGGCCCTGTCCACAGGCAGCAGCTTTATCCTCAGTGATGATGATGATTATGATGACATTTAATCCCTTAAATTTGCTTTTGAGAGAAATTCCTCCACTACATTTTGCCTATGCTCTAGGGGAATTACTAGTAGTGTTAATGAACATTGCATAGTGACAGGGTGCCTTCAGATTAATGCATTGACTTTTTCATTGTTCCCGTACTTAATGATCATAAATATTTGTTAATTGGCTGTTCAGTTAAAGCTTCATAGTCTAATGCAAGTAAACTGGATACTCGTTCTTTGTCAGATTTGTTAAATACATGCAGAATATTTTTTAAAAGTATTCTGGTGAAAGTTTGTGATATTCAAAAATTAAAATAAGTTGTTAATATGCAGAAACTGAAAATTGGACTTGAGTTAAATTGCATTTTAATTTTTTTGTTATTTGCTTTGTTCATATTTAAGTTTAGTTTTTGAAGGATTTGAAAAATCCCATAGGCGTCTCCTTGCTTCCAGCTTAGCTCCTATTTCTCCTCTCTAAATCAGAGCATGTTACTAAATTTATAAGGCAAATAGCACTTTGGAATTTCCCCCTGCCCAGTCCTTGCAAGTTACTTTTATTTGTTTTCTCTTTTACTCTCTTTCCATGAAAATTGACTATTAGATGCACAGGAGGGAACTTCCTGAGGTCCACCTACAGTTTTCATTACTAAAAATACAGAGAAGGAGATTAGAATACCACTCTGTGCTGTGTGGCCCCTTTAGAAGTTGATTGGAATTGTGGGGCCTCTCCCCAGAAAAGTGCACACACTGCACAACTTTTTGAATACAGTTTGGAAGGTTTATTGATCACTTGGAGTTTAAGAATGTCGTCATTCATACTTCAGTTTTGTGTTTTTGTTCTAGTATGGTGCCTAGTACTGTGCTAAATTGTGTAGTCCCAATAAAATGTTGGGTCTTTCTTGCTTATGCTTTCCAAATTAAATATTGATGAATTGACTTCTGCTGAAGCATTAAGAAGTTTTTCTTATAAATCAGAAGCATTGAAATAAACTGCATTGATGCTTTTTCATTATAAAAACTCCTTACCATTGTGAATAATGCTGCTAAGAGCATCCTATCTAATAAAAGAGAAACATGGTAAGTAGCCGTACCTCCGCTACCCTTCCCATTGGCTAATCAGGGCGATATGCAAATTAACTGCCAGCCAAGATGGCGGCCAGCAGCCAGGCAGCTTGAAGCGAACATGAGGCTTGCTTGCTTCAGTGACGGAGGAAGCCAACGTTCCCCGCCTACCGCTGCCGGCCTCTGAGCTTGCAGTTTGAAACATTGTTACAAATATAGAATCTAAACAAACTCCAGAAACCTGCTTTCAGCCAGCCGGGATCTCAGAGCTGGAGTTGAAACAGTGTTTCAATTATAGAACCCAAACAAACCAGATACTTGCTTTCAGCAGCCGAGGCCTGAGAGCTGGAGCCAAGCCTCAGAGCTAAAGCTGGCCCAGAATAAAAAAAAAGAAAAAAAGGAGCGGTTGGGAGCTTCAGTCACCTGCCAGCCTGAAAACGGCCCTCAGCCCCTCACCCAGACTGGCCAGGCACCCCAGTGGGGACCCCCACCCTGAAGGGTGTGTGACCAGCTGCAAACAGCCATCATCCCCTCATCCAGACTGGCCAGGCACCCCAGTGGGGACCCCCACCCTGAAGGGTGTGTGACCAGCTGCAAACAGCCATCATCCCCTCATCCAGGCTGGCCAGGCACCACAGTGGGGACCCCCACCCTGATCCAGGACACCCTTCAGGGCAAACCAGCTGGCCCCCACCCGTGCACCAGGCCTCTATCCTGTATAGTAAAAGGGTAATATGCCTCCCAGCACCAGGATCAGCGGAGCTGTGAGGCCTCCCGGCACCGGGATCACCGTGACAGGGGGCAGCACACAAACCCCCTGATCACCCTGCAGCTCTGTGTGTGACAGGGGAAGGTGCCCCAACCCCCTGATCAGCCCTGCTCTGTGTGTGACAGGGGGCGGTGCCCCAACTCCCCTATCGGCCCTACTCTGTGAGTGACAGGGGGCAGCGCCCCAACCCCCTGATCGGCCCTGCTCTGTGCGTGGCAGGGTATGGAGCCCCAACCCCCCTGATGGGCCCTGCTCTGTGCGTGACAGGGGGTGGCGCCGCAACGTCCCCATCGACCCTGCCTTGAGTGTGACAGGGGGCGGTGCCCCAACCCCCCAATCGGCCCTACCCTGAGCGTGACTGAGGGTGGCATCACAACCTCCCAATCCTCCCTGCTCTGTGCATGACAGGGGGCGGTGCCCCAACTCCCCAATCGGCCCTGCTCTGAGCCCGACCAGGGGCTGCACCTAGGGATTGGGCCTGCCCTCTGCCACCCGGGAGCAGGCCTAAGCCAGCAGGTCATTATCTCCCGAGGGGTCCCAGACTGCGAGAGGGTACAGGCCGGGCTGAGGGACCCCCCCTCCCCCCCGAGTGCACAAATTTTTGTGCACCGGGCCTCTAATAAGTATATAAATGTCTGTTTAAGTGCCTGCTTTCACTTATTTTAGGTATATATAAAAAGAAGTAGAAATGCTGGATATATGATAATTCTATATTTAGTTTTTTTGAGGAAACACTATATTGTTTTGCACAGTGGCTACATCATTTTACATTTCCACCAACAAAGCACAAGTGTTCCAATTTCTCTGCATTCTCACCAGCAGTTTTTGTTTTCTTTAAAATTGTATTTTATTTTATAGTAGACATTCTAATGGCTTTAGAGTGCTATCCCATTGTGGTTTTGATTTGCACTTCTGTAATGACTAGTAATGGTGAGCATCTTTTCATGTGCTTATTGGCTATTTGTATCTCTCCTTTGGAGAAATGTTTATTCAAGTCCTTTGTCCATTTTAAAATTAGGTGTTTTTTTTTCTTTAAAAATCCTTACCTGAGGATATGTTTTTACTGATTTTAGAGAGAAGAAGGGAGAGAGAGAGAAACATCGATGTGAGAGAGAAGCATTGATCGGCTGCCTCCCATGTACACCTTGATCAGGGATGGAACCCAAAACCTAGGTATGTGCCTTTACCTGGAATTGAACCCATAACCTTTTGGTGTACAGGACAATGCTCCAACCAACTGAGTCACCTAGCCACGGCATTTTTTTTATTTTGGTTGTTGAGTTGTAGAAATTCTTTATATATTTTATATATGAATTCCTTATCAGATATATATAATTTCTAAATATTTTCTCCAGTTCTGTGGGTTGCCATTTTACTCTGTTGATAGCGTCCTTTGATATTTTGATGAAGTCCAACTTACCCATTTTTTCCTTTGTTGTCTGTACTTTTGGGCCATGTCCAAGAAATGTTGCCAAATCTAATGTCATGAAGCTTTTTCTCATGACATGTTTTCTTCCAACTTTATGAGTTAGAAGGTTTATTGATAAAAATGTCAAAATAATGGTATGTATGTCCCCTTCAGGGCACCCTTGGTATATGTACTGGATCTGGCCTTTTCTAGGTATTGCTAAAGAGGCAGGGCTCTGGTGATTGCATGCATCAAACAGATGGATCAAAGCACTTTGAACGTAAATCTTAGAGCCTTTTGTGCTTCTCAGCTGGGCTCACTTGCTGCTGAGTGATCAGAGTTGATTATTGCCATGAGTGTTGTCTATTTTTTTAGTTACTTTTGGGCCTGGAGTTGTTCTGAAAGTTGAAGGTTCTTAGTACACTATGGGGTTTTATATAGCTGAGGTTTTTAGTGTTCATGTCCTAGCTTTCTAGGAAATATCAGAAGGACTCTGAGCTCTCCTTTCTGTGTTTTTCTTTTTCTCTGGAATCTTCACTATCACTTCCAATGCTATGCCTGGTCTTCGTAGATACAACAATCCTCTTTGTTTTCAGACTGAGAATTGATGACAAATTACCCTTTAAACTTTATAGTTCCGTTAAAACAGGTTGATTATTCCAAAGAAACTTTACTCAAAAACTTAAGGGAAGAGACGAAAGGGGGAAAAAAGTCAAAGACACATAATGCAGTCATACTTCGGCTGGGCCTGGTTTAGATGCTGGAGGGTGGCTTGCAGAGTTAGACAACATCACCCTCTAGAGGGCATTCCTATGCTGTGCACCAACTTGCTCAACAATTGTCTTAGACCAGCGGTTCTCAGCCTGTGGGTCCCGACCCCTTTGTGGATCGAACGACCCCTTCACAGAGGTTGCCTAAGACCATCGGAAAACACATATATAATTACATATTGTTTTTGTGATTAATCACTATGCTTTAATTATGTTCAATTTGTAACAATGAAATTGGGGGTCCCCACAACATGAGGAACAGTATTAAAGGGTTGCGGCATTAGGAAGGTTGAGAACCACTGTCTTAGACTGTTCAGGTACTTTTTTTTTTTTTTTTTTTAAATATATTTTATTGATTTTCAACAGAGAGGAAGGGAGATTGATAGAGAGTTAGAAACATCGATGAGAGAGAAACATCGATCAGCTGCCTCCTGCACATCTCCTACTGGGGATGTGCCCGCAACCCAGGTACATGCCCCTGACCGGAATTGAACCTGGGACCCTTCAGTCTGCAGGCCGACGCTCCATCCACTGAGCCAAACCGGTTTCGGCTGTTCAGGTACTTTTTGATAGAGTGTTCCAAAGCTGTGAAGTAGACCAGCCATATCCACAGTGTATATGGAGCCTCGTTGGAAGGAATTTGCCCCGGATAGTCTGAGATCCAGACGTACACCGGCTGGCCTTCTTAAAGAGAGCCTGAGCTTCCTGGATGGGGCTGGACTGGAGAGCCAGTACGGTTCCTGAGATAGCATTGCCAAGAGAAAAAAAAGTATCAGCCTGAACATCAGGGTTTTCAATCCAGATGGAGTAGGGGTTGTAGGAACAGTATGACACTGTGCCTTGGCCTACTCTTTATCCAGCCTCCCCCAAGGAACACGTGTGCTCCAGGAGCAGGAGGGCTGTGTATGAAGGAGGGGAAGTAGTTAGGATGACGAACTATTTGCTCAGGATTATCCCAGAAGACAATGCAGTTTGAGAAATGAAAGTCCTGCATCCTGAACTCTTGCAAACTGGAATGGTTGGTCACCATACAAGAAAGTCACTAGGTGCCAAAAGTTATGTTGTGGAGCTCCCTTCTAAAGAGTTGACCAGCAGAAATAACCAGTTTCTCCAATGGTGGCCAGAGGATGTTAGCAACACGGTGGAACTTACTGCTGGCAGAACTGCAAATCAGCAAAGACACACACACACACACACACACACACACACACACACACACACACACGTCAGCCTGCGGACTAAAGGGTCATGGGTTCGAGTCCAGTCAAGGGCACATACCTTGGT